TGAGCCTCAGGGACCCCTCTGTGTGATGGCTCTTCCTTGTAGGGTGGTGGTGCAGCCTCAGTGAGGAAATAAATGCTTATTACCAAATGGGCCCACTCCTTTCCCTCCCCTCTCTGAACGGATCTTCCCTCCCTGTGGTTTCTTCGTGACTGGTATGTCCTCAGTAGTTATAAAGTACTAGAAGGTGGGGGCAAGTCACAGTCCCCCTGGATTTTAAAATATGCCTTCTCTTTCTCTGTCTCCATGACCTTGACCTGATTCCTCTTTTCACAACACTTCTGACACCAAACATGTGAGTTTTCCACACGAAGCAGTTCTCCAAGTTTCTGTGGACATCACTGGGTGTCCTGCAGTTCAATTCAATTCTGATGATAAATACCCAGAGTTAGTGCAGACCTCACAGGTTAAGGGCCCAAGCCCACAAGGCTGCCCCTCACTTCAGATGCCAGTTGCAAGCAGTGGGCCCCCAGGTTATCCACACTTCTATCCAGCTTGCTCACCAGTGAGGGTTCCCATGACTCCCTCCTCAGGTTTAATAATTTCCTCTAACAACTCAAAAAACTCAAGGAGCCATTTGGTTATGTCTTATGTTTACCAGTTTATAAAGGATACAGGTGAATAGCAGAAGAGATACATAGGGTGAGGTCTGGAAGGGTCTCGAGAGCAGGAGCTTCTGTCCCCATTAAGCTGGGGTACACCACCCTCCTGGCATGTGGATATGTTCACCAACCCAGAAGCTCTCCTCAACGCTGTAGTTTAGAGATTTTTGGTGCTTTATCACAAAAGCATGGTTGATTAACTCAATTTCCAGCCCCTCTTCCCTCCCTGGAGGATGGGGTGGGGATGGGGCCGAAGGTTCTAAGTTTCTAACCATGGCTTTGTCTTTCTTGCGACCACCTCCCATCCTGAAGCCATCCAGGAGCCTACCTAGTCTATTAGAACAAAATAGACCCCTATGGCTCAGGAACGTCTCACGTGGGGATTTTGGAGCTCTGTGTAAGACGTTCTTATCACCCCTGTCACTTAGGAAATCATGAGGGTTTTAGGAGCTCTGTCAGGAACCGAGGGCAGACACCAAATATATTATTGCTCTTTGTCACAAGTAGACAAAGATTTCTTAAACAAGACCTCAAAATCATTAACCATAAAAGAACAAACTTGATACATTGGACGTCATTAAAAACTCTACATCAGTGGGAGACAGTAATGGCAACCACATTTCCCCAGTAAGATGTTAGTGAAAACATAGAGCCTGTACAGAAGTGGAGCTCTCAATGGCCAGTAAGCATGTGGACAGGCGCTCAGCACTGCTGGTCACAAGGGAAATGCAAATTAAAACCGTAATAAGATATGATTATACACTTACCAGAACGGCCACAAATTTTAAAAACTGACAGTACGAAGTGTTGGTGTTGATTTAGAGGAACTGGAACATTCACCCCGACTGCTGCAGGGAGAGCAGAGTGTGCGATTGTAGTCCTCACTTGAAAAGCTGTTGATATCCACCAAGCTAAATTTACACCTCCCGTATGACCAACACTTCCTCTCCTGGATACACAAGGAAAATGAGCACCCACGTCCATCAAATGACATTGTTTACAGCAGCTTTGTTTGTGCTAACCAAGACCTGGTAGCATCGCATCTATGAACAGGAGAATGGACGAGTAGAGAGTTGATAGCTATCCCAACAGTGCGGATGTCCCTCCTGGACCTAATGATGCACAGACGTAAACTGTGTGACCCTCTATCAGACCGAGTTCAATACCAGGTGAAACTAACCTGCAGCAGTAGAGCCAGAGCAGGGGTTCTGCCTGGGAGGGTCGTCTTGTCTGGGAAGGGGCCCTCTCCCCCTTCTGGAATTTTGGAAGTGCTATGTCTGATCCTGGATTCATCCAGCTGTATACCTGGGATCAGGGCACTTTAGGTGTGCCAGAACTCAGGGCAAGTAAATAAACAAAATGCCCCTCCTCAGTACTACACCGAGAACCGCTGCCTGCTTCCGGTTTTCTGTTCTTTCCACTGCTACGCTGTCCACAAACAGCACCAGCATCACGGATGGGACTTCTGATGGAACTTTCCCTGCTTTGCCTCTCGGAATGGTTTTGCCTTGACACAATTTTGCACTTTTGGGGTCTCCTTTACTATTGTTCCCCATGTGTGTCTGGGCGTTCAGTCCAGAAATGAGTTTGCTGATGGTGGCTCCGAGCACTTACCTGCTAGCCTGACCCTTCTGAGGTGGCAGCTTCTGAACAGATGCCATTCTAAAAGTGTGTTGTGAAATTCCTTGCTTCTGAAAAGTGGATGTTGCCGTATTCCGGCACACAGATCTTTTTCGATGCCCTCCAGTGTCTGGTGATCTGCTCTGTCGCTGATGATGCTGGCACTGCTGTGAGAGGAGGCAGTTAATTCCTGGAGGTACAGTGCACTTTGAAGGGAAGAACAGTGAAGGGCTAATGCTGAACATAAACTCCCTCGAGAGGAGCTGTCATTCCGGAGGCATGCAGACATGTCTGCCTTTAGATTGGGAGGTGGCATGGATTTTATTTTGCTGTCAGTTTCAGTTGGCTCAACTTGTAGTGGAGACCTCCAGGTGAGAAAGAAACCATGAGCTGCCAGATGCCGCAGGTTCCTTAAGGAGGTGCAGGACCATTGACCCCCTTCCAACTTGAGAGCCGTGCTCTGTGGGCCAGAGGGGAGCCCCAAGGAGCCATTGCCCTTGACCCAGCCGCAGCCTTGTCCATGTCCCTCGGCTTCCCCCTCGGAAAGTGTGACTGCTGATGCGTCCTCCCTGTAGACAGACCCCTGGACCAGAGATTTCGAACTCCAGGATCAGCATTTTAGCAAAGGAGATGTCACAGGGCAGAGACTAGGCGGCGGCTCGGGATCAAACAGTATCCTGTTTCTGTAGCAGATCGTGTGAATGTTTACACAGAGCTGAGTCAGTAACATTTTCTTTTTAATTGAGGTATAGTTGATTTAAAATATTAGTTTCAGGTGATCGATATTGTGATTCAAACATTTTTATAGATTATAATCCAATTAAAGTTACTGTAAAATATTGGCTGTATTCCCTGTGCTGTGCAATATATCCTTGTTGCTTATTCATTTAATACCTAGTAGATTTATACTTTTTATACATTTTATGTATATATTTTATACTTAGTAGTACCTCCTGATCCTCTACTCCTATCTTGCCCCTCCTCTCTTCTCCCCACTGGTAACCACTAGCTTGTTCCATCTGTGAGTCTGTTTCTTTTTTTATATTCATTTGTTTTATTTTTTTAAGTTCTCTATATAAGTGATAACGTTTATCTTTTTCTGACTTATTTCATTAAGCATAATACTCTCCAGGTCCGTCCGTGTTGTTGCAAATGGCAAAATTTAATTCTTTTTATGGATGAGTAATATTCCATCCCCCCCACCTTTATCCATTCATCTATTGGACACTTAGGTTGCTTCTGTATCTTGGCTAATGTATATAATACTGCTGTGAAAGCATTGGTAACATTTATCGACTCCCTGGCCATTCATAGCAAGCATAATTTATCAACATCATTAGATTTTATTTAGCTGATTTTCGGACCTTGTGGAGGTTCTGAGTCATAGTTCTGGGTATCAATTTTTAGTTTACAGCAATATTCATTAAACTTTAGACTCTTGAGTATCACTTGTGAAATGTTTGGTATCAGAGTGCCATAGGTTCTGTAATACTTCTCTTTAAATGAGCCTACTTTTAAATACTTTTCTTTTTTCTTTTTTTTCTTTTTTTTAATACTTAAAATTTTTAAATTTGTTTTATTTGGGGAGTAACTAGGTTTATTTCTTTCTTTCTTTATTTTTAATGGAGGTAGTGTTGCAGAAAAACGTGTTACAGCTCATTGTTATAGCTCGGTGTTACAGCTCAGCTGTGACAGCAACCTGGATCCCAGCAAGAGACCAAGCAGCACTCAGAGAGTTAGAGAACTTAGGTTTATTACGCCAGCGGGCCCAGAGGAGTTGACACTCCAAGCTCTGCACCCCATCTGTAAGTTTACACAGGCTTTTTTAGGCTACCAGTTTACACTGCAACATCATATGGAAATAAGGTATAACAAAAGTTGACTAATTAAGAACAAGCTTTGTAGAAATGGGCCAATCAGGAAGGAGAGAAATAACCAATCAGGAGTGAGCTCCATGCAAATGAAGTACTACAAGTGGACCAATCAGGAGTTAGGGAAATGGACCAATCAGGAGTGAAGGAAATAACCAACCAGGAGTGAACTCAGGGAACCAATAGAGTTTTAGGGGTAAGTAAGCCATTTCAGAGGCAAAAAGTGAGATAGAGCCTCTGGGAACCAGATGGTGCTGACAGGAGAGTAGTGGCCCTGCCTTGGGGTCCTGCCAGTCTTTTTATGGGGCTTCCCACCTCAGTAGTAGGGAATGAACCCAGGACCTCGTGCCTGCTAAGCATGTGCTCTGCCACTGAGCTATACCCTCCACCCAAATTCACTTATTTTCAGGGAAACTTGATCTCACTGCCTTAAGTGGAAACCAGCGTTACTTGCCATGAATGTTTGTTTTAGTTGAATTTATGAAGGTCCAGTCAGATGCTATTGCTGGCAGAGGCTTTGAGCCTTAGTCACGCTCTTCTTTTTTCTAAAATAGGAAGATGAGCAAGCATCAGAGTGGTGTGAAGGGTGTGCCAGCACTACCTTGAGACTTCCCTCTGTTACAGTCAAAAAGATACCAGGGAAGTCAGGCACTGTCACCTGTTGGCAAGTCTGTGCCTCCACCTCCTGAGTCCCACCCCTTCCTTGGGGGACTTGGATCCAATTTTGGATGCCTGGTGTATCACCTCCTTGGAGAAGAATGGAGGGGAGAGGACTGGGTGCGTGTCAAAGGCGCCACCTCCCTGTCAGATGTGTGCTCTGACATGACTGTTTATGATCCTCCTTGACCCGTTCTGACTTGTCCCGCCAACGGCCACGACCCCCACACTGACCGGGACTTTTTTCCAGCAGGAGACCACTGTCCGCGGCTCCCGTGAAGATGTCCACTCCAGACCCACCCCTGGGTGGAACTCCTCGGCCAGGCCCTTCTCCAGGCCCGGGCCCCTCCCCAGGAGCCATGTTGGGCCCTAGCCCTGGTCCCTCACCTGGCTCCGCCCACAGCATGATGGGGCCCAGCCCGGGGCCTCCCTCAGCAGGACACCCCATCCCGACCCAGGGGCCTGGAGGGTACCCTCAGGACAACATGCACCAGATGCACAAGGTAGGGATCCCTGGGCCCACTGCCCCGAGCCACTGAGTCCCTGCGATTAGAGACCGGAGGGTGAGCAGCGGGCAGCGCATTGGCAGCTGTCCCACCCTGTCTCTCACGTTAATGAGTGAAAATGTTTGAATCCTAATAGATGGCTTATGGCCCATGGTTTCCTCCCCTCGGGCTGCTCAGCTTGCCTGGGTGATTCACGAGGCACAGCAGTGGGTGCCCTTTAACCCCACTGGATCCTGACTTCGAGCACTACCTGCGCTGAACAGGGTGCTTTTGCCAGTGAGATGGAAAACCTGCTTTTAACACAACTAGCTTTCCTCTTTCTTGTGTTTCTGGGAAGTGGTTGGAGGAAATGAGGAAATACCCTCTTAGGTATCCTCAGCTAGAAGAAAAGGTGACATTTCCAAGCATCAGGGGCCACAGGAGGCTGTCATGGTAGAAAATGTGAGTGGTGTGGCCTGGGGGGGAAGGGGCCTCTGCTAACCCCTCTGACCTCCCTACAAGGGCAGTCTGTGTGTTTGTACCCCATTTTACTGAGTCCCCCTCTCCCAACGCATCAGGTGTAGGTGGGTATTGTGCCCATTTTGCAGACGAGGAAGTAAGGTCTCAGAGAGATGGTCATTCAGCGAGTTGGTGGCAGAGCCATCCCATCCCTCCCACCCTCACAACACCTCAGGCATGTGCCACCTCAGTGGCCTCCAGCACAGTGAGGTGACCCCCCAACTCATTTCCCATATATTTCTGTCAACTTTGGTACCACATCTGTCTTGTCACCTCCCTCGTGGGAAGCTGTTGGTGCCTCAACCCCGCTCATTTAGGCCAGTTTCTTCTCCAGTATGGTCCCATTTTTCCCTCTCTGCCCATTTTGTTTCTTCCTCTGGGACATGTGACACTTGTCTGTCAGACTCCTGCCATGTGTCTGGTCTAGGAGCAGAGGCCCCCACCCTGCCCACACAAGTGAGCCCGTCAGTCAGCTCTTCTGGTCAGGAAAGAAGGAGCAGGAGTGGGCTCCACCCTGGGGTCTGCTTGGCATCCTGATGGCTTCTCCTGCTGGTGAAGCTGCCACTTGTGCTCCCAGCCAGGGGCCCTCCCCTCGTCCTCTCACAGCACACCCTGAGCTGTAGCTGACTTTGCTGGGCCACTTGTTTGACCAGAGAGCAGGACATTCGTATTAACTGAGCCTACAGAGTGCCTGGAAGGGTCTTGGAAAACATCCCCTTTCCCAGCCATTCCATAGGGGGAGTGTTTAGTGCCAAGCATCAGAAGGGGAAAGGTGTGTTTCCCTTCCACCAGGATTTGATCGTGCCCCTTAGGAGGGACGGAACGATGCAGCACACAGCCTCCTGCTCAACAAGTAGGGAGGAGACCAAAAGCGAGGGCATTTGACATACTGTTACCGTACTTCATGGGCAGGCATTCCTGTGTCTAATTTATAGCCCCCCCAGAAAGAGAGTCCCTGATCTGAAGATCCATGGTGACAAGGTCTTCTTGTGATGATGAACAGGAAGCCTGGTATCCCGGATAAAACTGCTCCTGACGAGGAGCTGTGTGTGTCCTTCCCTTGTGAGATGTTGGCCATCTGAAGCTGTCTCCCCACCCTCCCCCTGGTGTCCTAGTCTAGATGTCCCCTTGCCTCTTGACCACTAGTCTCCAGGCCATCACCCTCCCTTGGGTGGCATTGTCTTATGCATCTGCGTTGACACTTAACTAGATGTCAGGACCATGTCTTGGACCTAAGCCACTTGGTCGTGTTGGCAGTAAATGCTGTGGTGGCTTTGGACAGACATTTTCAGTGACATTGAACTTGTCTCAGGTGATGCTTTTCTTGCTGCCTCTTCCTGTCCCCCCTTGCTGATCCTGCCTTGTGTGTCCACTCTCGTAGCCGATGGAGTCCATGCACGAGAAGGGCATGTCGGATGACCCCCGCTACAACCAGATGAAGGGGATGGGACTGCGGTCAGGGGGCCACGCAGGCATGGGGCCCCCGCCGAGCCCCATGGACCAGCACTCTCAAGGTATGGTTTTGTTTCTCTTCTTTCCTCTTTGTCACCCTCTGGGAGTCCTGAGGTCATTTGCCTAGTTGGGTGTCCCATAGATGGATTCAGAGGATCCAGGACAGTTGAGCCCCGTGGGAGACCCTGCCACAGAGAGCTGGTTAGCTTGGGCTTGGCTGGTGCCCTGTTCAGGCCGTCTTGTCCTGGAGCCCCCAGGAGAGCGAACACTGGAGGGGCAGACCCGTGGTCAGCACTGGGGGTTAGACCAGGGCTGGGCAGGCTGGGCTTCAAAGGAGGGCAGCTCTGGTGCCACCCAGGAGTGTCTTAGAAATGCAGGTGCCTGGGTCCCGCTCCAGACCTGCTGAGTCAGAATCTTGGGAGAGGGGCAGGACTCTGTTTTAACAAGCCCTGCAGGTGACTTTTCCAAACAGGGAAGTTTGAGAAATGATGAAATAGATGACCCCCTGTCATGGAGTGGGAAGCTCAAGGGCTCTGTGGATAACAGAAATGAGGGGAGTGGGCCTGGCCAAGCTGAGGGGCAGGCGGACAGGCCCAGAGAAAGCCTAGATCTGCATAGTTTCAACTTTAATCGTTGACATGTTGCTGAAAGGTGGGTCAAACCAATGCAGCTGTGCAGGCTGCCAACCAGGCTGTGAGGGTGTGCCCTCCGGGTACCTCTTCTTTGATTTATGAGAATGAGACATTTGGCCATCCCCTGTCTCAGGGTAGGGACTGGTGTGTGCAGGGTGGTAAGGTTACCGTCCTTGCCTTAAAAATTACTGGACGTGTGTTACTGAGTGACTGCTTGTATCCATGTTTCCCTGCAGGGTACCCCTCACCCCTGGGGGGCTCTGAGCACGCCTCCAGTCCGGTTCCAGCCAGTGGCCCGTCCTCGGGCCCACAGATGTCGTCCGGACCAGGAGGGGCCCCACTGGATGGCGCCGACCCCCAGGCTTTGGGGCAGCAGAACCGGGGCTCGACCCCATTTAACCAGAACCAGCTGCACCAGCTCAGAGCTCAGATCATGGCATACAAGATGCTGGCCCGGGGGCAGCCCCTCCCTGACCACCTGCAGATGGCGGTGCAGGGGAAGCGGCCGATGCCTGGGATGCAGCAGCAGATGCCAACACTACCTCCACCCTCCGTGTCCGCAACAGGACCTGGCCCTGGCCCTGGCCCTGGCCCTGGGCCAGGTCCGGGACCAGCACCTCCAAATTACAGCAGGCCTCATGGTAAGGCCTGCTGCCTACGGCCCTTGGGTTGGGGTGGGGTCTCAGAGTGCACTGACAGGAGTGTGGGCATCAGTGTCTGGAGGCAGGGCTGCTGTTACGATAAATGCTGTTTCTCTAGCTCCCCCTTCTCTCCCTTGGTGCCCACAATGAGGGGCCTGTTGGGTGTGTCCCTTGGAGCCAAGGCTGTCCCCGGGGCAGGGGGTGGCGGTGGCTGTTTTAGGTAGAAACACAGGACTCGTTTTATGCGCTTGTTTGTTTCTTCCTGGATGTAGGTATGGGAGGGCCCAACATGCCCCCCCCAGGACCCTCAGGCGTGCCCCCCGGGATGCCTGGCCAGCCTCCCGGAGGGCCTCCCAAGCCCTGGCCTGAAGGTAAATTCTGGTGACGCATCTGTGCCCTAACTCCCTAGTGGAGCTTTCATTGTGCAACCCTGAGATGAGCCTCGTCAGAGCGAGCAGGCCGAGGACCTATCCTCCCTTCCTCCTGCTGTCCTCTTTGGGTCTCACCCGGCTTGCTCGGTTCCCAAAGGCTTGGGTTTGGTTCCCTCCCTTGTCTTGTGGGTCACGGTGACCTGGTGTCTCTAAGCTGATAGTGGGAAGAGAGGGATACTGGGAATGAGTCCACTGTGTGATTCAAGTGAGAGGCTGAGGGGAGGTGCAGTTGCAGCTTAGATACCGTCCTCCGGGACGGCTGACCCCTTCCCTCCTGGGAATGCTCCCCAGCACCGTGGAGGGCAGGCAGGATGACAGGGCTCCCCAGTGTTCTGTATAAAGTGTAGTCGTCAGTATTTGAGGGTCACATCTGTTGGGTCAAAGCAGTGGATAAAATGGGCTCATTCCCCATCCTCTTGGAGCCTGAGGTTCAGCGATGGGCACTGAAGAGCTAGTCGCTTAAGTAGGATTTCCTTAGAGCTGTGGTGGAAGAAAGTCAGGGAACAGCTGGTCCTGTGAGGTCACACCAGGGTCAGCACCTGGGCCAGTGGGAGACTTGGGGAAGGGCCATGTCAGCTGGAATCCAGAGGAAGCTCAAACCCCAGGGCAGGAGGGCGTTTCATTTCCACCTGGAACTGACCTGGAACTCAACGCTGTGTTCTTCTTCTTGACTCCTCCCCTGCCCCAGGACCCATGGCGAATGCTGCTGCTCCCACGAGCACTCCTCAGAAGCTGATACCCCCGCAGCCGACAGGTCGCCCCTCACCCGCACCCCCCGCTGTCCCGCCGGCTGCCTCCCCAGTGATGCCGCCCCAGACACAGTCGCCGGGGCAGCCGGCCCAGCCCGCCCCCATGGTGCCGCTCCACCAGAAGCAGAGCCGCATCACCCCTATCCAGAAGCCACGGGGCTTGGACCCGGTGGAGATCCTGCAGGAGCGGGAGTACAGGTGAGGGTGCTGCTGCCTGGTGTCTCTACCCAGGTCAGCCCTGACACGCTGATGTGGTTCACAATTTTAGAGGCCAGTGGGTGTGCAGCCAGAAATCACCCTCCTGCCTCTGTCCCAGCCTCCCAATTCCCTGGTGTGCATCCTTCCAGAGAAATTTCTGTGTGTATACAGGCAGACGGTACATGATGTCCCCACATGGTATGTGATGTGTGTGGTCCCCAAATGGTGCGTGATGTGCGCAGTGTTCCCTCCCATAGCAACATGCCTTTGATCATCCCCTGTTTGTACAGCAAAAGCTCTTTTTTTTTTCTGGTTGCATTCTGCCTGGTGGCTGAACCATAATTTATTTAGCCAGTCAGGAGACTGACTCCCTGAATGGACAACAGATGGTTCTAATCTTTCATTAAAACCATGCTATGATAAATACACTTGCATACCTCTCGTTTCACACATGTGCACTCACGTCAGAATAAATCTGTAAACATGGCATTATTTGGGTATGGGGGATTTCCGTGCACATGGAAATTTTATAGATTCTGCAAAACTGCTCTCCATGGAGATTGTTCAGGTACACATTGGAATGAAAGTGCCATTTCTCCTCACCACCAGTGTATTATCCAACTTTTGGCTCATTCCTCACTCAAAAAGCTCCCCAGCAAGTTTTGCGGTGGACATCTCTTGAACATCGCTAGTTGCTCTTTGCTTTGCCAAGGCCTCCTGGGCCCCAGATGCTGTGTGAGATGCCTGGTGCACAGTAGGTCTGTATCGCCCTTTTTCACACTGCTGGGGGTGCCTGAGATCCACTCCCATAGCACCTTGCACTCTCCGTTTCTCCATTGCATTTATAACTGGTTCAGGGCTGGCCTCCCTTGATGAATGTTAGCTCCATCAGGGGAGGGGGCTGTGCCTCATTCACCGTAAATCCCCAGATACATCAGTAAATCTTTGCCTAATGACTGTCTCCAGGGTGCATCTCCAGCTGTGATGTGTCCTGGAGCGCTAGCCCCTGTACCCAGGCGCCTCCCCTCCAGCTCCATCTGGATGGCTTAAAGTTGGCCTGTCCAGATGGCCTTATGCCCCACACTTTCCCCTCCTGTCTCTGTTCCCAGGCATCTACCATCCAGCAGTCGAGTGGACTACAGACCCTGTGGCCTCTTGACCCTTGCTTGCACTTCTTATCCCCGGTGTCCCCATGGTGCATGCTCTTAGCTCTTTCCCCTCAATGCTGTTCACCCTGCCATCTGGTGTGCACCTCCTCCTAGCCTCCCTGCTCTCATCCTGACCTGCACAGTGTGTTTCCCACAGAGCTTTTGAAGACTCTTTTTGCAATTAACTTACATTAGATCTGTTGCCTGGGTTAAAACTGGCTTCCCATTATCCACTGACTAACACTTTTCTCTTCAGCCCCTGCCTAATGCTCTGTCCTCACCTACCTAACTCTCCCCAGTCCTCTCTCCATTGAACAAGTTAGACTTATTCCTGCCCCAGGGCCTTTGCACATGCTGCACATAACTCCTTGTGGTTATTTAGTTTTTATTGCCAGTCATCACCTTATAGAGGCCCCACCACCTCTCACCTCCAGCCCCTTCCTCAAAGTACTTCTCTGGGATTACCATGGATACTTAATTTTTTAACTCTTTTATGGCTTGTCTTCCTGATAAAGCTGTGAGCTCATGACAGCAGCAAACAGCCCTGTAAGTCTTTAATGATGCAGCCCCGTACCTGGAATGGTCCCTGGCACACAGTAGGTGCTTGATAAATAAGTGTGAAAGACTTAAGGGGATTATCACCCTTATTAAGACCAAGCCTGTAGGGTTGCTCTGCAGGTTCTCCTCAGTTTATAGCTGAGTTCATGAGGCTCATGGGCTAGGTAGATTCGCAGGGTTGGGATGGAGACCCTGGCCCGCCTGACTCCAGGGGCTGGCTCATGCTGCTGAAGTGCCATAGGTCGGCTGTGCCCTGTCAGGTTTCCTGTTTGCCGCGGCTCCCAAGACCTCCGTGCTGCCCTCCTGTGTGTGGTCTGTGCAGCAGCTGGCATCCTTTCCTGAGCCATCTCCTGTCTAGTGACTAGTATCAGCCTTCGTCAAGGGATAGATTCTCCTAAAGCTACAGCTTTAAAGAAAGGGAACAAGTGGGTTCCTTGTAAACAGGCGAGACCTCTCATCACCTGTCCTCTTTTCTGTCTTTGCACCCTAGGCTACAGGCTCGCATCGCACACCGAATTCAGGAACTTGAAAACCTTCCCGGGTCCCTGGCCGGGGATTTGCGTACCAAAGCGACCATCGAGCTCAAGGCCCTCAGGCTGCTGAACTTCCAGAGGCAGGTGGGCGCAGGCGCGGGCTGTTGTTTCAGGAAGAGGGCCCTTTCTGTTGATGTTTATGCTTAGATTAGAGAGCTGCTCACCCGGCAGTGATTAAATGTGCCCTGGCCATTGACAGCAGCAGTGCCCACCCCCACTCACTGTGCGCTCCTTCCTCCCCACGCCCCGCCCGTCGGGGGGACATTGACCATTCACGGGATGAATAAATGTGGGTCTTCCCTCAGGTGGCAGTGGCCAGTCTGAAGCAGGGGACTTGGATGGGTCTATTTCTGAGGGTCCTTTACTTTCGAACGACCTGTGAGAAATGTTGTTTGTGGTTGAGGGAGGGAGACCTGCAGGCAGGAGAGGCTCTGCTGGGTGTCCAGAAGCGGCCGTCTCCTCACTGTGCGTGCCTCATGCGTGAGCACCCCTCCCATGCCCCACCGTGACCTTCCCATGCACACATTTGTGCTTCCGGATCCTTCTGGGAGTGGCAGCACCTGCCTAGCTTGCGACGTGGAACCGCGTGTATTGCGTGGACATCCCACAGTTGTGCCCGTTGCCAGTTTCTCCTCTTCCTTCCTGAAGCTGCGGCAGGAGGTGGTGGTGTGCATGAGGAGGGACACGGCTCTTGAGACGGCCCTCAATGCCAAGGCCTACAAGCGCAGCAAGCGGCAGTCACTGCGTGAGGCCCGCATCACCGAGAAGCTGGAGAAGCAGCAGAAGATCGAGCAGGAGCGCAAGCGCCGGCAGAAGCACCAGGTGCGCCGGGTTCGGTTCACGGCTCAGCCCGCTGTGTGCTTCTCTTTTCTGTTCGTTATAATGGTGTTTTAGAGACTAAGAATATGTCCGCGGACAAAACCAAATAGTAGGGGAAGGTGGGTCATAATCAAATGCACGTGTAACATGCTGGGAGGTAATAGGGTGTAGGGAACATGAGTGGGGATAAGGAGAGATGGAGGAGCCGTTTACTCAGGATGGGAGGTTCTCCCTGCGGAGGTGAGGTCTGAGTGGAGCCCCGAGGGAGGGAGCCACGCAGATGTGTGTGCAAGGCGCTTTCCAGATCGATGGGGCAGGTGCAAAGGCCTTGGGCCTGAAATGGGTCCCAGTGTTCTGTAGAGAGCAAGGATCCAGTGACTCCTGTCCCATAGTTATTCTGGTCTTTTGTGTGCATCCTGCAGGAATACCTCAACAGCATTCTTCAGCATGCCAAGGATTTCAAAGAATATCACAGGTCGGTCACAGGCAAGATCCAGAAACTCACCAAGGCGGTGGCCACCTACCATGCCAACACAGAGCGGGAGCAGAAGAAGGAAAACGAGAGAATCGAGAAGGAGAGGATGCGGCGGCTCATGGTACAGTTCGCCGTCAGAACCTGGTCCCTTTGTGGTTCACTGGGTGTCGCAGGCACGGGAATCGACCGCCCCAGGGTTCCTTTTGGGTATTTTGCTGCTCTGAGTTAGAGGCAGGACAGAGAAGGAAAGGGCTTGGGCTTAGGAGTCCGAAAGACCTGGCCTCAGACCTCTGCTGGGTCACTCCACCATCAGTGACCACGTGACCTTGGCCAGTTAGCTGGCTGCTTTGTGCTCTCTGAGAAGTGGAGGTGGACCCGCTCCTGGTGGGAGAGCCCCCAGTGCTGTGAGCCTGACTCCCACCCCGACCCTTTGTGTGTGACCACGTATTCACAGAGGGTTCTCTAGTCGGGCCGATGTTGACAGGCACTGCTGTGTGGTCGAGGCCATGGTGGTGAGAAGGGTGCAGTCCCTGCCCTGATGGGGCTCATGCTGGCCCTGGAAAGACAGATGCCCAATTGGAACAAGCTGAAGAGTTCAGATGGTGAAAAGCGCACTGAGAAGAATGAAGCAGGATGAGGGAGAGGATGGTCCAGGCAGGGTGGGCCTGACCCTTGAATGCAGAGACCTGGGGGAAGCGTCTCCCAGCAGTAGGGGAGCCGAGGGCAGAGGCCTGAGGTGGGAGAATGCCGTGTGCAAGGCCCAGCCAGTAGCCCCTGAAGCAGCACGGTGCAGAGCAGAGTGAGGTTGGAGTCCCAAGGACAGTCACGTAGGGCCTTGCAGGCCATGAGGCGGGCTTTGGTTTCAGTTCTGACCAGGATGGGAAGCCTCGGGTGGGGCTGTAAGCTGAGGGAGGGGGCACACGACGTGGTCCGGTGTTTTCTCGGAGAGCTGGGACAGGCTTGCTTCGGGGGTCTGTGAGAGTGATGTGGCACAGACTAGGTGGAGAGCAGGGTTGGGATCTGGGTGTGTTTGTGCTCAGCAAGGACAGGACTTTTACATGTTTCTGGCAGGAGCATGTCTGTCCAGCAGGTCCTGCGGGGCCTAGTGCTGGGTGGGAACTGGGGAAACACTGAAGGGGAGCCAGTAGTCATGTGAAGGGTGTGAATACAGCACAGCTCCGGGTGTGAGCTCCGTGTTCCCTAAATGGGTGCAGCTGCTGGTTAATAACAGCCCTGTGGGCTTCTTGACTCTGGTTTGCCTGCCTTGGGTGCCAGAGGCCTGGTGTGTGTGACAAGCACGCCCCATAACCGCACGCTTCCGCAGGCCGAAGACGAGGAAGGGTACCGCAAGCTCATCGACCAGAAGAAGGACAAGCGCCTGGCCTACCTCTTGCAGCAGACGGACGAGTACGTGGCTAACCTCACGGAGCTGGTGCGGCAGCACAAGGCCGCCCAGGTCGCCAAGGAAAAGAAGAAGAAAAAGAAAAAGAAGGTGCGCCCCCCGGTGGGACTGGAGCTGCTGTGTTTGCGCGTGTGCCTCGGCCTCCCCGTCAGGGAGTGACTGTGTCTCTCTTCCCTTCCAGAAGGCAGAAAACGCAGAAGGACAGACACCTGCAATTGGACCTGACGGCGAGGTAAGAAACCAGAGCTTTCTCTTTGTGGAAATGCCAGCCCAGCCCCAGAAATTAGGTCTGTTTCATCTTCAACATATTTTTTTCTCTTAAATTATAAAAGCTGTATATGGCAATGGTAAGAATCCATGTGTGTCCTCTGCTACACTCCCCCTTCTCTGTCCCAGTCCCCAGAGAGGACACTATGTGCTCTTGGCTGTGTTTCCTTCCAAGCCTTTTTCTATGCGTGTGCTGTTATTTATGTTTCAGTTTTTACTTTAAAATTTCAAACTCACAGGAGAGGCGTAAGAACGGTACAGAGAATTCCTTCACCCAGATTCCTGCTTTTCACATGTCATTTTTTTCATAAACCATTTGATAGTCAGATGCAGATGTGACGGCACCTTATGCTTCTGTGTGTTTCAGGACGTACGTCCTAAAAGCAAGGCTGTTCTTTTCCATGACTGTACGAGGCTCAAAACCAGGAAATGAATGTTGATGCAGCGCTGTGATCTAATCCATAGCCCTTGTTAAGGTTTCACCGGTTGACCCTCCAGTGTCCTTCACAGCAACAGAAAGCCCTGAGGTGATGCAGTGCGCTTCTCCCTGTGTCACATGGAGGGGGGTGTGGCGTACAGCTCTTCTCTCACTGGCGATGTTAACCTTGATCTCTTGCTGTCTGCCAAGGCATCTCCAGCTTCCTTTTGTAGTTATTAAGTACCTTGTGGAGAGCTGCTCAGACTACGTAAACAGATTGTAACTCAAACTTTCACCCAGCTGGTTTCTGCATCCATTATCTTTGCCTGTATCAGCTTTTGCAGTAATGGTTACAAAATGGTGATTTTTCCTCCCCATCATTCCTTTTGCATTTATCGGCTTTTTACAGGAAGGAAAAGTTTTCCCTTCTTTGTTATTTGGTCTGTGGGCCATAGTTTGCCAACCCCTGGTTCCGACTCATGGATTCTTATTTAGTTTAATGGATTTACTTAGTTTAATTCTGCCGTATCATCATTTATTTTAATGCTCAAATGTTTCCAGTTTGGGCAAGTAGGAGTCCCTTCACATTGGCTCCTACATCCTTTGACGTGTCCCCATCAATCTTTGAGGGCTTTCCATCAATCTTTGAGGGCTTTCTGACTTTTTCACACACAAAAACGGCCCAGGCTTATCTTGTCTCCCTGCCTGAGTCCTGGACTCAGCCGTTTCTCCAAGAGCCTTGATTTCTTTAATCAGAAGAATACTCAGAAACCAAGATCCAGGTGTGCTCATTACCACCAAAGTGTCATTGCTTCTGGGCCCTCTCAGCAGACAGACCTAGGAAACAGATGTATGTACGCACACACAGCTGCATTGCTAATTATACATATTAACAACCTTGAGGTCACACTGATTTCTCTCATTCTAATCCAATACCACAGGGTTCTCTCTGTCATTCTCCCTATCCATATTGTAATAGTCTCAAACCTGGCTCCCATCTGCCACTCATTGCTCGTCCTAGAGCACACAGGAAGCACATTCAGAATGGCTAACAAGTACCCCCCTGCAGAAGAAGCCTCCTAGCTAGAGGTCAGTGTTTGGGACTGAAAGTACACGCTCCAAAAACCGCGTTCAGAAGATTAGTTCTCTCTCGTGCCCTCATTCGTGAGGTTCCCCCCACCCTTGTTGGTTTTATTTATTTGCTCACCGTTTGTGTGTTTAGTATGTGAAATATTAGCCTGGTTCCAAAAGTCAGAAACGTCCAAAGTGACCCAGGGAGGGGCTGCTGTCCCCACAGGCCCATCTTTCCCACAACCTCTCCTCTCCCTAAAGGCAGCCATTCTCACTTAACATACTCATTTGGAAGAGAGGTGTATGAATAAAAAGTGTTTCCTTTTCCCCCTCCTCCAGCTTCTCCTCAGTCCCGCTTCCTGGAGCGAAACCACAGGGAGCTGTCTGTGTGTGTGCTCCGGGACCCTTTCTGTGCATGCACCGCCGAATGGCTTTTCACCCCCGCCTGGCACTGCATTAGTCTTTCCATGTTAGCTCATGCACACTTACTTCCCTAATGTCACTGTGTTAGAGAGGTGACCATTGCTTGCTTCTTAAAATCGTAAATGTAATAATACTTCTTGTAGAAAGAGCCTTAAATGATAACATGAAAAGTGCAAGCCCCGTGCTGCCTGTCCTCTCAGGAGCCTGCATACTGACCCCTGGGTGTTTCCTCTGCACCCTTCCAGAAACCTTTGTGCTTACAGTCTTTGCTTTTTTGGGGACCCTTTGGGTCAATCTAGACATAGCTACACTTTTCCTGCTTAGCAGGGTATCATGGGCCACTTTCCATGTCAAGCCATTAGTTCTGTTTTCATTTTATTGTATTCATATAGCAGAATCTATTTCATTGTTCTTATTGAGAACTATTTAGGTTGCTTTCCATTGGTAGTTGTTTCAGAGGTCCAGCCCTGAGCAGCTCGGATGCACAGCCATATCCCCACTCCCCTGTTGGTGGCTGTTTCCATTGTTTCCCGTCTTTCTATTGCACACGTTGTAATGAGCCTCCTTGTATGTTACCTTTTGATGCTCTCTTCGCTTGGGCTGCCATCACAAAACACCTAGGTGGCTTAAAAGGTGGAACTATGTGTTCTTATAATCCTAGAGGCTGGAAATCCAAAATCAAGGAACAGCAAGATTGGCTCCTGGTGAGGACTCTTCCTGGCTTGTAGACTACTGCCTTCTGGCCGTGTCCTCACATGGGGGGAAAGAGAGCAAGAGCTGGTGTTTCTTCTGGAGGCACTGATCCCATCATGAGGGCCCCACCCTTATGACCTAATTTAACCCTGATTACCTCCCGAGGGCCCCATCTCCAAATACAGTTACACTGGAGAGCTGGGGCTTCAGCATGTGAATTTGGGAGGGAATACAATTCATTCCATAGCAGATGCACACTTTTTCTAATTAGCCAGATTCCCAGAAATGAATGACGATAGTGATTAAGTCAAATATGTATTTACTTCATGTGGTTTTATTTGAAATGTTAAATTGAAATTTCTTAAGGGAAACTTGGGCTGGCCTTTTACTGCAGCATATAGCCTTCACAAGGCCATTTGGGGGTATTCAGAGGGAGTCCTATAGCAGGAAAGTGTGGTTCAGGGAATTCTGTTGGGTAATCACGGCAGCTGCTCATCCTGTTTAGTAACGGGAAGCATCACTTGATGACAGCTGTTGATTGTCCTTGTTCTCGCCCAGTGGTTCTCAGCCTTGGCTGGACACTCAAATCACCTACGGAGCTTTGGAAAAACAGGGAGGACCAAGCCCCACCCCAGAGCAGTTCAGTCAGAATTGTGGGGATGGGGAGGTCCCACCATCAGCACCCTAACTGCTCCCAGGAAGGACACGGGGATGAAAGTCACTGATTGAGGCAGCCCTCAGAGCTTGTTCGTGGCGGTGGGGGGTTGCCGTCCCCCTCTGTGGTGGGCTGCTTTAGGATGGGATTTTGACACGCATGGAGACAAATCTCTGCTGTGGGCCAGTGTTGACGGCGAATGCAGCTCTAGAGGGAGGGGTATAAGTTCCTGGTAGATACAGACAGAGGTTTCCATCCTCATCCTTGTCCTGAAGGTCTCCTGGAAATTTGAGGATGTCCTCCAAAGTTGATAACTCAAAATAAGAAATCAAGGAATTCCATATTTGTTGCTAAAAGGAAGTTGTTTTATTTTTCAAGTATTCTAGTTAGTTGTTTAACAGAGAAGAGTAAGAATCCCTGATGAAGTCTGCAAAGACAGTGTAAGTGGAAAAAATCAAGGGCCAGGAGAATGGGAATAGTGTAATCATTCGTCGGGGGATACCTGAATCCTTGTTTCTTACGTGTGGAATTGGTCTGGAAGAAAGCACTGGAAACTGATACTGTTGGGGGGTCACGAAGACACGTTGTCAGACGAGGCGACAGGGATGGGGTGAGCCCACACTCTATACTCTTGAATTTGGGGCTATATGATTAAATTATCTATTTGAAAACATGTCTATCAGTTCCTTCAAAGAAGCAGCTGTCATCATTGTGTCATATGTATCTTTACTGAATGATTAATACACAGTTAACCTTTCTCCACAATCGTTGGTCACGTTTGTGTGCTCTTTTTTGAGCATGGAGTTGGAATGGCACTTCCCCAGTTGGCCACGGTTAGAGGACGCCTGAGGCGTGGGCAGGACGGAGCCTCAAGTCACACGTGTGACTCTTTTTCAGCCTCTGGATGAGACCAGCCAAATGAGCGACCTACCTGTCAAGGTGATCCACGTGGAGAGTGGGAAGATCCTCACCGGCACAGACGCACCTAAAGCAGGGCAGCTGGAGGCCTGGCTGGAGATGAACCCCGGGTGAGTGGGACCTCATGTCCCAGACGCAGCGGGACCTGAGTCAGCTATTGGCCTCATTCAGGGCACCTAGCAGCTGGGAGTGATTTTGCTTACATTTGAAAAGGGCCAGTTTGCTAAGAAAAGTGAGTCATGCTGGTTCTGGGGAGATTTATATTAAAACACCAATATTTTTTTCTAGGTATGAAGTAGCTCCAAGATCTGATAGTGAAGAGAGTGGCTCCGAAGAAGAGGAGGAGGTAAGAGTTCACTTCCTGGCTGTCGATCGGGCTCTGTGACCCCCTCCCGCTCCAGCCAGGCATCGTATGGGCCAGGGGGTGGGCAGAGGGCAGCTGAGGCCCCATCCTGGCTGAAAGTTGGTGCTTTGGAGCTGCTCTGTCCAATACAGTAGCCTCGAGCCACACAGCACTGCTTCCATTTTAATTAAATTAAATGTAAAAGTCCTCATTCATATGTCCTTAGTCATACTAGTCACATTTCAGGTACCCAACAGCTCTCCCCTCCAGAAAAATCAGTATGAAATTGTGAGCAATAAGTCATGTACAAGTTTGCCCATTATAATCTGTTCTTTGGAAACATTATAAACTGTCACATTTATTGTGTATCTTCTCTGAATCATTTGATTATGCCAGGTTACGGTGATGTTTAGATTTTCCCTGGTTGACAGGCTTTCACGAGAGCCTTGTCCCTCCCTGTCTTGGACGGCCTCCTCAGGAAGGGTGATTCAGAGGGAGCCCTGGGGCTGCAACATCTGAAGGCAGGGCTCATTCTGCACAGTTAGCATCCAGAAGGGGGTTCTCCTGCACTCCTCCTTCAGCCGGGGTGCGAGTGTCTTACAATGCTTTTAAAAAGCTTTGCCACCTCCCTCAGTTTTGAAAAAGGGAATGTTAATGGGCACATCTTTGCCATTAAGGTTAAACATTTTTTCAGGTATTCACTGACCATTTAGATTTCTTCTGTGAATGGTTTGCTTCCTATGCTTATTTCTCATCAGTTGTGAATGTTTTTTAACTGAATTTTTAAGTGTTCCTTGTGCATTTACCCCAGCCCAAAATCAGCTTGATGGTCACCCATGTCTTTCTTTTGGTTTGGTAGTCCTGTTTGCACTACACTCACTAATACCTCTCCAGGTATCTGGGATTTGGGTAGGTATGAGGTGAAGTACATTCTTCCCCCTCCCAGGAGAATTAAGCCAAGTGGTACACTGTTAGTCCATCCCTTCCCCATTGACCTGTGATATTTTAAAAAATTAATATATTAGGTTTTTATATCCACTGGTATATTTTTAGGGCTACCTGTTCAGTTTCTTTCTTTTTTTAAAAAAATTTTAAATTTAATTTTTTTTTGGTTTTTATTTTATTTATCTATTTATTTGAGGTATAGTTTATATACTTTTCGGTTTCTTTTAAAATTCTAATGATTCTTAGACCAATAGCATTTTGTTAAAATTTTTAAAATAGCTTTATGGAGATATAATTTACAAACTATAAAATGTACCCATAGTAAAAGTATAATTTATTGCTTTTTAGTGAATTTATAGAATTGCACAGTCATCACTCTACACCAGCTTTACAATGTTTCTATCACCCCAAAAGGCTTCCTCCCACCCGTTTATAATTTGTTCTTGCTACCTCCTCCAGCCCCAGGAAACCACTGGTCTTTTCCAGAATTACACATAAATGGAATCATACAACATATAGTATTTTGTGTTTGGCTTCTCTCACTTAGAATGCTTTTGAGTTTGATCCATGTTGTCTGTATATCAAAAGTTTTATTCCTGAATCATGTCACATTGTGTGGATATACCACGCTTTATCGATTCACCAATTGGGCATTTGTGTTTTTTCCATGTTTTGCAATTATGAATCACACTGCTCTGAACATTCACATACATGTCTTTGTGTGGACATGTGTTTTCATTTGTTTGAAGTAGATGCTTAGGAGTGGCATTGCTGGGCCATATGGTAAGTTTATGTTGAACTTTTTAAGGAATTGCCAGACTGTTGCCTAAAGTGATTGTACCTTTTGCACAGGTTCCAGTTTCTCCATATCCTTGACAACACTTGGTATTATCTGTCCTTTTCATTATAGCCATCATAGTGGGTGTGTAGTGGTATCTCATTATGGTTTTGCTTTGCATTTTCCCAGTAAGTAATGATGTTAAACATCTTTTCAAATATTTATGCACCATTCATGTATCTTCTTTGTTGAAAATCTCTTGAAGTCTTTTGCCCATTTTTAATTGGATTGTTTGTCATCTCATCATAGAGTTGTAAGAATTCTTTCTATATTATTGATACGTGTCTCTGATCAGATATTTAACTTGCACATGTCTTCTCCCAGTCCGTTTGCCTTTCCCCCTCCCCTCAGCGCAACATCTTTTGAAATGCAAGTGTTTCATTTTGATGAAATTCATTTATTGATTTTTTTATTTTATGAATTGTGCCTTTGGCATTGTATCTAAGAACTGTTAGAAGTCACGAAGGTTTTTCTCTTATGTTTTCTTCTCGAAGTTTCATATACAAGCTCTTATGTTTAGGGTCACAGTTGAGTTGATTTTTGTGTGTGGTCTGAGGTACAGGTTTAAGTTTTTTGTTTTTGCTTTTTGCATATGGATATCCACATTACCATCATTCTTGGCAACTTTGTGGAAAATCAGTTGACCATAAACGTAAAGGTTTGTTTCTGACTCTCAGAGTTTTTCTGTTAATCTGTCTATCTCTGTGCCTTGACCACACTGTCTTGATTATTGTTGCTTATAATAAGAAACGAGGTGGCATTAGGCCTCCATCTTCTTTGCTCTGTTGGCTTTTCTGGATCTTTTGCATTTCCATATACGTTTTAGGGTCAGCTCATCTACAAAATGGCTTGCTGGGATTTTTATTGGTATTGTGTTGAATCTATAGATCAGTTCTGGGAGCATCACATCTTAACAATATTTAGTCTTCCAATCCATGACCATGAAATGTCTCCATTTATTCTGATCATCCTTAATTTCTCTTAGCCATGTTTTGTAGTTTTCAGAGTACAGTTTTTGCTTTTTGCTGTTGTTAAATTTATTCTTAAGTATTTTATTCTTTATGCTACTGTAAATAGAATTGTTTTCTTTATTTTCAGATATTTTGTTGCTGTTACATGGAAGTACAATTATATACATTGTAGATGTTGTGTTCCACAAACTTGCTGAACTCATATTGGTGATTCCAGTAGGGTTTTTTTTTGTTTATTTGTTTGATTCCTTAGGAGTTTCACATACAGGATCATGTCATTCATAAATAACCATAGTTTTACTTTTTCCTTTCCCATCTGTGTGCCTTTAATTTCTTTTTCTTACCTTATTTCACTGGGTAGATCCTTCAGTACAACGTTGAGTAAAAGTGTTTAGAGCAAATATCCTTGGTTTGTTTCTGGTGGTAAAAATAATGCTGAAAGGAAAAACGGTAATGCAGTTGGTCTGTCACTGTTGCTTGATGTTGGCTGCAGGTGTTCCATGGATGCCCCTTGTCGGGTCAAGTAAATTCTCTTCTGTTCCTGGTTTATTGCGAGTTTTTGTCATGAGTGGGCTAGATTCCGTCTCATACTTTTCTCTACTAAGCCGATTATATAACTTTTGTCCTTTGTCTGTTAATGTGCTTTATTACGTAAATTAATTTTCCAACATTGTCGTGGTGTAAAATTTTTTCTGTATATCGCTGTTTTTATTTTGTTGAGGGCTTTGGGGTGTATGTTCATGAGGGATACTAGTCTCTAGTAGTTCTCTTGAGATAGCTTTGTCTGGCTTTGATATTAGGTCAACATTGTCCTCCTGGAATGAATTAGAAAATGTTCTCTTCTTCCCTTTTTTCTGTAAGAGGTTTGTGAAGGATTGGTATACATCTTAAAACATTTGATAGAATTCATTAGTGAAGCCATCCGATCTTGCTCTTTTCTCTGTGAGAAGATTTTTAATTACTATTCCAATTAGCTATTACAGGTTTTATTCAGAATTTTCTGTTTCTTGAGTCAGTTTTAGTGATTTGTGTCTTTCCAGAAATATGTCCATTTCACCTTAGTTATTTGTTGGCATAAAGTTATTTATGGTAGTTCTTTATTACTGTATCTCTATGGGACTGGCAGTGATACTGCTTTCATTGCTAATTTTGGTGAATTAGTAATTTGTCTTTCATTTTTTGCTAGTCATTCTAAGCTTAGGTTATTGATTTGAGACTTTTTTCCCACTGATTTGTGAGTTTAAAGCTATAAAGTTTGCTCTAAATAATGCTTAAAGCTGTAAGCCATAAATTTTGATACGTTGTTTTTGTTTTTATTCCATTCAAAGTATATTCTAATTTCCCTTGTGATTTCTCTTTTAAAACACACATTTAAGTGTGCTGTTAAATATGAAACATTTGATGATTTTGTAGATTTTCTACTTTTTATTGCTAATTTAATTCATAAGAATGTGCTTTATATGATCCTAACTTTTTAAAGTTTATTGAGACTTACTTTGTGGCTTAGCTTCCTGGCAAATGTTACATGTTCATGTGGATAGAATTTTGTAATTTTAGAATGGAATATTCTGTGTATATAGTTGGTAAGTTAAGATGGTGCATAGAGTTGTTCAGGTCGTGTATCTGTGCTGAGTTTTGTCTAGTTTTTCTATCACTTGCTGAGAATAAAGCAGTAGAATCTGTAATGATTTTTGTTGAATTGCTATTCTTTAAATTCTGCAGTGTTTTGCTTTGTGTATTTTGATGCTTTCTTCACAGGTATGCTTAGTTATATATTTCTGATGTATTTAATATTTTGTCATTATTAAATATCTTTTTGTCTCTAGTAACATTTCTTGCATTAAAGTCTATTTTGTCCAGTATCAGTGTGATCACTCCACCTTTTATATGGTTACTGTTTGCATGGCATACAGTTTTTCTTTCTTTTACTTTAAGCCTGTCTGTCCATTTGAATCTAAAATAGCATGTAGCTAGATCTTGCTTTTGTATTTAGTATGACAGTGTCTGCCTTTTGGTTGAGTTTTAGAGTTCACATGTAGTGTAGTTATTGATACGACTGGGTTAATATTTGCCATTTTGCTATTTCTTTTCTTTGCTATTTTTTTCTTCCTTTACTGCTGCCTTTTGTGTTAACTTTATTTATTTATTTTATTTATTTATTCTGTATGTTTTAATTTTTGCTACGTTTTTAAAGTTACTCTGTTTGTAGTTGCTCTGGGAATTGCATTATGCATCTTAATTTATCATCATATGCTTCAGGTTAATACTAAGTACATTCTGGTAAAATACGAAAGTTTTGTTCTGTTTTAGCTCCATTTTCTCTCCTTCCTTTGTGCTGTTATGGTCACATATGTTACATCTATATATGTTATAAACTCAACAGTACAATCTTTTAATTAATACCTTGTATAATCTTATGACTTAGTCTAAAGAAGTTAGAAGAGAAGAAATCAGAGGAAGTATATTTAAAGTCTTTTATACTGATACATTTATTTACCATTTCTGATGTTCTTTATTTCTCCTTATGGATTCAAGTTACTCTCTCCTGTCATTTCCTCTCGGCTTGAAAGACTTCTTTCAGCACTTATTATAAGGCATGTCTGCTAGCAGCAAACTTCTCTCAGTCTTTATCTGGGATTGTGATACTTTAGCTTTCATTCTGGAAGATGCTTTAGCTGGACATAGAATTCTTTGTTGCCAATCTTTTTTTCCTTTTGAATGTATCATTTCATTGCTTTCTGACCTCTTGTTTCAGGTGAGAATTCAGCCACTAATTAACTTGATGCCCCTTTGTACTTGGTGGTTCATTTTCTTTCATTCAGGATCTTCTCTTTGTCTTTGGCCTTTAGCAGATTTGCTGTGAACTCCCTCTTTGTGTTTATTCCTCTTAGTGTCTGTTTAGCTTCTTGGCTGGGTAGTTTCATGTTTTTCATCAAATTTGTAATATTTATCATTTCTGTCCTCTGTTGAGATTCTGTATTTGTTGATTTATTCTCCTTTAGGATGGTTTCATTTATTTCTTTGAATTATATGTACTGTAGCTTTGAACATATTTATAGTAATAGCTGCTTGGAAGATTGTACGTTAAGTCCACCATCTGGGAACAGAGACAAGCTCAACTGACTGCTTTTTCCCCTGAGTTTGAATCATACTCTCCTTCTTTTTCGCTTGTCTTATAATGTTTAGTGGAAGCCTATTTTAGCCACTCTGGATTCTGACCTCCAGTCCTGTGGGTTCCTTTTGGTGTTTTTATTTGTTTAGTAGATTATCTAGGCTGAATCTCTGGATAGAATTGTTTCCCCTGGATGTGTGCTGCTTTTGGTATCTCTGCTCAGTTGATTGTTTCTGTTTTTTTCTCATTTTCATCGTTAATCCTGGTTCTTTAGGAATGGGCTGTGTCTCTTCATAACTAAGTAGTCATCCAACGACTGGGCAGAGATTGTACTCAGATATCTGGAGCCAGCAAGGCTTCTGTCTCCTGCAGTGGATCGGTGTGTGTGAAGAAAATGTTCCAAGTCTGGGCCATTTTCAAGTCAACCCTCGCTTTTACTTTCTGCTGGGCCCTTTCTCATTTCTTCTGTACACATGCACAGCCTCAGCCAGTAATATGCTTTCCCTGCCTGTGGCTGAGGTCCTCACCTCCACTGACAGTGCTGCTGGCCCGGGCATCACCCACTGCTGCAACATGACTAGGTCCCCAGGAGCCTCAGCTGCCAGGCCTTGTGGCCTCCCCACCCCAGTGCAGCCTTCATGTTGGAGCTGGGGGTTGGGGAGGTGAAAGCACCCCCAAGTGAGAACGCTGCAGACTCCTACTCTTCTTACCCAGAGCTCAGCAGTTTTTTAGGCATTAATGCTTCTCAGACTCCTGGAGCTCTGAAACGCTTGTCTGTGCCATTTTTATCCAGCTTTAAGGTCACTTTCTAGGGGAAAATTTGCTGACCTCCTCACTAGGACTTAGCCAGGATTCTTACCCCTGTTTTAACTCCTGACAATGTAATATCAACCAGGATAAGTCTTTACCAGGTTTTTTTTTTTTTTTGCCATAATGTTTGTGCTGTCCTCACCTGTTCATTATTCCAGATGATCTATAAAATCATTTTGTATGCTCCAAGGGAAATCCCACTGGGTTTTGATTGAAATAATTTAACAGATTAATTATTGATTTTTTAAAAAGTTTTATAGCAGTTCCATTAACACACACATTTTGTGTGATTTATACAGGAATACAAAGATGGTTTAATATCTTTAATATTGGGAAATGCATTTGAGTGTATTTTATCAGTCACACCAAATCCCCTTTATTATCTGCTCTGTAAATGGCAAAAAATCCCTTTAATGAAGTATAACGCTCATACTTAATTTATAAGTTTATAGAAAACCTCTTAGTAAACAATGATTCTTGTTGTCTCCAGTATTCTTTGACATATTTTAGACATTTTGGCCATGTCAGTAAAGCTGGAAGTAAATCAAGAGCAATAAATATTGAAGGTTGCCTATAAAATGTTTGATACCTAGGAAATTCAAGCGAAAAACTGATTTAGTAGTGTACATTGTGTAAGGGGAGCTGGTGCAGGTGGAATCTACCAGCAGCAAGACAAGTACAGAATACTGAGATATCCTCAAAAAGCAATGGCAGGATACTGTGCTAGGAAGTCTGGAAGTCATATACTGAGCAACTAAAAGAAGATGCTAATAAAAGGCATGACTCGTTTCGGGATCGGAAGCAAGCATGAGGGTTATAAAACCAAAGTGTTTCCAAAAGTGTCTTCTCCCCCGGGAGCCTGTGCCCGTCCCCGGGGGTGACCTGAGGTGACGTGGGCTGATCTTTCGGTAGGAGGAGGAGGAGGAGCAGCCGCAGCCAGCGCAGCCTCCTGCCCTACCTGTGGAGGAGAAGAAGAAGATTCCAGATCCAGACAGCGATGATGTCTCCGAGGTGGACGCCCGGCACATCATTGAGTAAGGCATCCCTGCCGAGCTCCCCCTCTGCCAGCTTCCTGCGAGGTGGCGCCGGCACAAGCTGTTGGTACCCCAGCTTCTCCCTGGACCACGCTGTCCAGCTGGCAGTCATTGTGGGACCACAAACACCAAACTGATCTACTTCAGGTTTCGCTGATATTCATAGGGATTTAATGATGTATCTTCCATTCACGTGGTTCATCTTGTGTCTAGGAAATTGTTGGTTTACAACAAAGGCCGCTTTACTCTTGTGCCCTGGCCCCAGCCCACCCCACCTCCTCCCTGGAAAAAAATTTTTCCAGCATCCTGTGTCTTCCACAGGTATTCTGTGCATCAGTAAGCATAACATATACCTGTTTTCCTTTTCATTTGCACATGTGTATCTGGGCCACTATGTTCTTCCCCTTGCTCCTGTGTCTGTACACACGGGGTGTCTTGCTGTCCTCTGCATCCGGCTGCATGGCATCCCTGTCACGTTCCCCTGTGTCTGACAGTGGTCGTTTACGTTATTTCTCATCCTTTGTTCCTGTAAGCACAGTTAAAATTAACATACCAATGTCCTCGTTCCTTACAGTACAGACTTACAGGATGCTCTTAAATAGAAGATTGAGAATATTATATGAGCCATAGGTATGAAGGGAACCACCAGAACAAACATGCAGTCCTCTGAATTCACCAGAAATGTATAGGAAAAAACCCACTAAGCTAAGAAAACCAAGCTCACTGTGCAAGAGTTGTAAGAAGATATAAAAACCAAGCTCACTGTGCAAGAGTTGTAAGACGATATAAAAACAGAAACCACATGCAGCGTACAACAATATGACAGAAGTCAGATCACAAATATCTGTAACATAATGAAATGCAAATAGTTTAAAGTCACTTTTTAAAAGAATTCCAGATGGGATCACAAAACAGCCAAAGTGTAAGTGATGCTGGTTTGTGTGAGGCTGTTGAGTGTACATTTTCCCTTCTGGCTCTGGAACTCACAGTGTACAGGGTGGGCCATGTGACCAGCCTCTGGCTGACAGTGCCACTCATTCTTTGGTGTGGCCGTGACGTGGCTCCTATTTGGGAAGTTTGGGTAGGGACCCACAGCAGCCAAAAGTCCAGACTTGGCCCCAGGGTCAGTATTTGCTGCCTCGCCTGACCTCAGAGCGTGCAGGGCACTTCTGCTCGTCTTCCGGCTCAGGCTGCAAAGCTGCCCCACGGAGGCTTGTGTCAGAAGCACGTTGTAACCGATGGGAAGGTGCTTCCTCACGCCAAGTTTCCATCTTGCTCCCAGGAATGCCAAGCAAGATGTCGATGATGAGTATGGTGTGTCACAGGCCCTTGCCCGTGGCCTGCAGTCCTATTATGCCGTGGCCCATGCTGTCACCGAGAGGGTGGATAAGCAGTCAGCGCTCATGGTCAACGGCGTCCTCAAACAGTACCAGGTAGGTTGCGAGGGGTGGGGCACATCCACAGAGCAATCTTAATGGAGGGGTCCCTAGGTTGTGGGTGGCTGCCGACGTCAGGCAGACCCGAGCTCACTGTCTACTCTTGGTCTTTGGACAACTTGCTCTCCGCATCTGTAGAGCAGGGTCATGATCTGACAGGGGAGATGAAACAGCGCGGTGAGTCAGCATCTGCGGGGTAGCTGGTGCTTGGAGGCGGGCTAGGAGCATTTCATGGCTCTTAGCTTCTGAGCTCCCCAGGAGCTCTGAAGTAGGCGCTGTGAGCCTCCGAAGTCAAGGGGAGTTGGAGGTACCACTGGGGAACCGAGTGTGCAGTGATTCCTCAAAATCGCACAGTTTGGGGATGGCCAAGCCAGAAGGGGACCCAGGTGTGGAGCTCTGTGCAGTGTGAGGGACAAGAGCTGAGATGTTGAGGGCAGAGGACCAGCCGAGAAGCAGAGCTGCTCATAGTAGAAATTTCTGTCTCTGTCACCCCACATCCCAGGCTCATCTGTGAGCTCCCAAGAGGCAGCTGGTACATCTCCCACCAGAGAACATGTTGATACTCGGTTTGGTCATAACCCCGAACCCCAACTTTCCTTGTAAGAACTCTCAAGACCTCCATGCTGATATCAGATTCCAAAGGTGAAGGTGAATCCAGTGGCCAGTGGAACTTTCCAGAGGCCAGTGTGTAATTCAGAGAAATCATATCATGGCCACAACTTGTGTAACTTGTGAAAATTTCCAAATTTTCTTGATAACATTATATTCATCTTGGAAACAATCTTCTCTTCAATTGCCTATGTTTTAGAAAGCTTCGAGGAGGGAGGGTGTAGCTCAGTGGTAGAGCACGTGCCTAGCAATCACAAGGTCCTGCGTTCAATCCCCAGTACCTCCATTAAAAATAAGTAAATAAAAGCCCAATTATCTCTTCTCCCAAAATAAAATAATAATAATAATAAATTTTAAAAATAATAAGAGAAAGCTTTGCAAGCTTTGGAAAGCTTTCAGTTAATCTTGAAATGCTGTCTAGGCAGCATGTGTGGTGGGTTCATCAACAAGTTCCACTGAAGCCCTGGCACTTCCCCGAATCCGGTGTCACGTGGCTGGGGAGGTTGGTCCCGGCGCTGCGTGGCCTGATGTCAGGCAGTGCCGGATGGACACTGTAACAGTTAGAAACTTAGCTGTTCAAGCGCACGCAGAGAGAAAGCTTCATGTGCATGTCTCGTTAGCAGAGTGACTCTGTGATTTCACAGAAATGGTTGCTGAGGTTAAGACTGAGTGAAAAGGCAGTGCGCTGACGCAGAGCCAAACACAACGCTGGCCACGGGGTCCCTGACTAGGGCGGAATTGGGAGTCTCTGAGGCACTGGGGGCGCTCTGGGACCCGACCTGGGCTTCATCCTGGCCCCTCCTTGCAGATCAAAGGCTTAGAGTGGTTGGTGTCCCTCTACAACAACAACCTGAACGGCATCCTGGCTGACGAGATGGGCCTGGGGAAGACCATCCAGACCATCGCCCTCATCACGTACCTCATGGAGCACAAGCGGATCAACGGGCCCTTCCTCATCATAGTACCTCTCTCGTGAGTGTGCCCCCAGGCCCGGCGCCCAGTGGAGGCCCCGCTGCCTGCTTCATCCGCAGCCCCGCCTGTGCTCAGCAGCCTGTGTGTTCGTTCACTTAGGCCACCCTGACAAGGGACCATAGCCTGGGTGGCTTCAACAATGGGCACTGTTTTCCTGGAGGCCACAAGCCTGAGTCAAGGTGTCAGCGGGGCTGGTTTCTGCTGGGGCCTCTCTCCTAGCCTGGCAGGCAACCGTCTTCTCCCTGCGTCCTCACACCGCCTTTCCTCTGTGTGTGTCTATGCCTGGATGTCCTCCTCTCAGGATCACCAGTCATAGTGGATTAGGGCTCACCCTAATGACCTTATTTTTACTTCGTTACTTCTTTAAAGACTCTGTTTCCAAATGTAATCACATCCTGGGGCACTGGGGGTAAAGACGTCAACATACGAATTTTGGGGGGGGCATAGATCATAACTCTGGTGTCGGCATAGGGCGGAAGGAGGGCGGGTGATGACGTGCTGGCCATCATCCCTGTGGGGCAGTGCTCACAGGGTGTCCTTGGTGTCTTCTTCAAGCCCCACAACCAGCAGATTCCACACACGGTTGTCACAGGAGCTGGACAACCTCCCACTAGAAATGTAGAGTAGAGCTGTTTGAGCAAACCGTGTTTCCACTCCCTGCTGGGGCACTGAGCCCTGTTGGTCACCTCCCAGCCTAGTCCGGGCAACACAGAGCTCAGGTGTGGGGAGTCCTTGGGAGGCTCTCCCACTCACCACCCCTTGGTGCCGCTGGCCTCTTGCTCCCAGCAGGTACCCTTCCAGGGGCCAAGATTCCTCAGGTCGCCGTGGGCATCCCTCTTCCCAGCTCTGTGTGTGTCACGAAATGGTACACTTGCTCAGGGTTTTTCCAGAAGTCCCAGGACTGGCTGTCATTGACAGTTCAGGTCACATGGTAGGCAGCAGTCCTGCCACAGGCCTGGAGGATGCTCTGCGCTGATGTGGCCAGGCCTCTTGTGTGTGCACCTGGCCTGGCCCTCAAGGACAACCCCTTCATGTTCAGCCCAGTGCTCAGCGGGTACCATGTCCACCTTGAGTCAGCTGTCGGGGGGAGGATGGGAAGCTGACTGCTGCTCCCCCAAGCCCACAAGAACGCCCCTCCTACCTGTAAGACGTCCAGGTCTCCAGAGGCCTCACACCCAGTTTGTGGTCCCAGAACCCTCCCAGACTTTATGTGGACAAGTTGATTTCCTCCTCTGCCTTCTATCCCTCGTAGTGGTGGAAATTTGGCTGCCTTGGCAGGAACAGATCTTCACAGAGAAAGAACTATTTCCATAGCACAGCAGCAGGTCCGGGCCTAACAGACGGCCTGGCCTCGCCCTCCCTCCTGGTCAGACCCAGCTGGCCTCTTGGCTTCCCACTGTCCTTGCCTGGGCTCTGTCTCCCAGCACCGCCTATGGCTCAAGCCCCCTCCCTTCTGTTTGGCCCCTGGATGTGACTTCAGCTCCACCGAATAGCTCTGTCCAGCATGCTGTTCTACAGCCTGGATTTTTAATTTTTAAATTGTCATTTTGGAATGATTTCAGACTTATAAACAATTGCCAAAGTGGTATAAAGTGTTCCTATATACCTTTCACCCGGCCTCCCACATCTCACATAACCCCACGACGGTTTCAACACCAGGATAGTAACAGTGACTTAATGAATCACTGTTCACTGTTAATGAATCTGTCGCCCCTACTGAGATGTCGATTTCCCCACTAAAGGCCTTTTTGTGGTTCACAGTCCCACTTTGTCTTTTACTGTCACGTGTCTGTGACAGTTCCCCAGTCCATCCTTGTCCTTCATGATCTTGACCCCTCAGTCCTGCTCGGGTATTTAGTAGACTGTCCCTCAGATTGGCTCATGTGATGTGTCTTCTTTCCAGAATTAACCCCGGGAAGGGATGCCATTCCCTTCCTGGGGCCTCACATCAGAAGGCACAAGCCTAGGGAGCTCCATCACAAGAGGGGATCACTTCAGTCCCTCCTGATGTGGTGCCCGCTGGCTTCCCCACGTAAACCTAATGAGTTTATAGTATCTTGTGGGAAGGTGCTTAGAAACTAAGGGAACACTCTATTTCTCATTATACTTTCCCCGGTAATTTCCACGTCTGTCAGGTCAGGATCCCTGTGGGAAGTGCCAGGTGGTCCTCCCACCATTCCTTCCTTGTGTGCTGGAATTCCATCATAAGGAAGAGCTTTCTCTTCTTCCCCGTGGACTTAAGTGTTCATCATTCTTCACATCAGAATCGTTACTTACGTTGTTTCAATTCTCCCAGACTTGGCCTGGAAAGATGCTTCAGTTTGGTTCCTGAGTCCTATCAGCACATCCCTGTCATTGGTTGTGTGCTTTAGAATAGTGTTAGATCTCCAGGAAAGTTGAAAGGGAGGGCATAGAGCTCCCATGGTTCCCTCAGTGGTTGACAGCATCTTACATGACCGTGTTACGTTGGTCACAGCTAAGGACTCAGCCCTGGCACGTTACTAGGAACTAAACACATGGCTATTAACTTCATTTCGATTTCACTCATTTTTCCCTAATTTCTGTTTTCAGTTCCAGCATCCCATAAGACATTTAGTCTTCCCGTCTACTTTGCCTTCTCTGGTCTGTGACCATTCCTCAGACTTTCCATATTTTTGGTGACCTTAATGGTTTTGAGGAGAACTGATCAGGTGTTTTGTAGGCTGTGCCTCTGTCTGGTTCTGTCTGGTGACTTTCTCATCCTTGGACGGGACAATGGGTTTGGGGACGAAGGCTGGGGGTGAAGGGCCCTTCTCATCACCTCACGTCCAGGGAAGTTACTGTCAACGTGACTTTTCACTCTTGAGGTTGGCCTTGATCACCTGGCTGAGGTGGTGTGTGTCAGGCGTCTCCACTGTGGGGTCACTCTTTTATTCCCTCTTCCATACTGTATTCTGGGGAAAAGTCTCTAAGTTCAGCCCACAGATAACAAGTGGGCAGTTAAGAGCCACGTTGAAGGGGAAATCACCTCATAAGTCATTTGGAATTTTTTTGTGTGGGAGATTTCTCCTCCCTTAGTTGTTAATGTATCTGGTTGTTTATGTCAGTGTGGCCTCAGTGGATATTTATTTTATAAACTCCAGTGCTAGTTTATTTTGTTGCTCAAATCATTCCAGCCTTGGCCCTCGGGAGCTCTCTCAGTGACTACTCCGTCCCTTCGATGTGCCCCTATCATTGTGGGCTATTTTTGAGCATGTCTTTGCTTTTTGGCACCGAAAGGTGCTCCAGGCTCAGCATTTTCATTTCCCGCCCAGGCCTAGAAACAGCCATTTCTCCAAGAAGCCCTGGTTTCTCTTATTAGAGACTGATCTTAGGAACCAGGGCTGGGTGCTGGGTGCGCCCTGTGCAGTGCTAGGAAGTCTGTGGAAGTGCTCTGGCCCCCGTTCCTCTGTGTCTGTGTGAAGCTGCGCACGACCGTCCTGCTGGCTCTGACTTATCTGGGACCACAGGGCTCGTTCCAGCCCTTCTTGCCCAGTGTGCGTGCGCAGCGCCTTCAGAATACTTCTCTCGTGAGAGGCAGCATTTCCAACCAGAGAACAGGGTTCAGATCCAGTTCCTGTTGCCTGTAGACTTAGTGTTTCTCGTCAGAACGTCTTCTCCCAGGGTTATTTCAGCTGGCTTCTCTCCCCATTCCTTTCAGTGAGGTTATGCCATGTGTTCATCTTCAGCCTTTTCACACCCACGTCCGGCCCAGACGGGGGTCCAGTCTGTGCAGTGTCACCTCCTTCAGGCCGGAAGAGCCACCTGTGCCCTGGGGAGGGTTTTCCGACTGCGAGTGGCCAGCTGTCCCATCCGCCTGTTGGGACGTGCTGCTCTCCGCCTTGAGTTTGCTTGTCCTGCCTCCCTCCCGACCTCTGACTCGCCTGTCTCCTTGCTCCTCCTGCGCACGTGCCCCCCCACCTCAGGCTTTAGCCCCAACCGTTCCCCATGGTTCCCTATAGTAGGAACCAGACCTCAGTGACTGAAATAGGTGATCTGAGGCTGGCCCGGTGCTTCAAGCAGCCGGGGGCCCAGGGGGACCCAGGCTCCTGCAGTTTTCTGCTCAGTCATCCTGAGTGTGTGACTCCTGCCTGAGCTTTTACCTCATGGTTGTAAGATGGCTGCATTGTCGCCATCATCTTCTCTGAGTTCCAAGCATGACGGGCAGGGCCACGGGCCACTGGAGCGTATCACAGCTGAGTCTCCCCCTTCCCCACCCTATCCTCCTTCAAGAGTTGTCCTCGACATACAGCCCAGAGGCTTGAGCTTCCATCTCATTGGCTGAGATTGTGTCCACCTGGTTGACCCTGGGTGCTTGGGGCGGGGGGTGGGTCAGTGCGGACACAGCACTATCCTCTGTGGAGCTTCTTGGAGGGAGGAGCTGTGTATGTCACCAGCAGTCTCTGCCACTTGACCTTTGAGCCCTGCTTTACAGACCCCCTGTCTCATAGTCCGGTGTGACTTGTCCCTCACCCGCCCCCATGTCGGGTCACTGCCTGCCTCTCTTTCTCCCCTCGTCCTGGCCTGGAGTCCTCACCCCTGCCCCTCCCTCCTCCAGTCCTCTGCCCCAGCCTGGCTTGGTCTTATCTGTCTTACTGGGCAGGAACCTTCAGTGGTTACCGTTTTCATTTTGAGGTGGCACCAAGACCCTGTGGCGTCTCCTCTAGTCCCAGGCCTCCACAGCATAATCCCAGTGTTCTGAACCTGAAATAAGGCCCTCTAAGTATGCATTTTTCCAGGTCCAAAGCATATGGTGTATTCTCATAGGGGCCTGTGACCGCACAGAGGTGACAGAGGACTGGTCTCCAAGGTCCAGGTCCTGGGCCTGGCCCTCTCCGGCTGCCTCACTCCAGCCCAGGCCAATCCAGGCTCCTCCCACCCCAGCGGCTGCTGACCACACCTCTGTGTGTCCCCATGTCTGCCACCCGGGGTGCCATCCCCTCCTTTCACAGCGGGTCAGTTATTCTGCCAGCTCTGAGGGTCACAGCCACGACAGCTGCACTTGCTTGTGGGTGTTAGTGCTGCTGATGACAGAACCAGAACCTGACTGTCTCTTCCCTGTTTCCACCAGAACACTGTCCAACTGGGCATACGAGTTTGACAAGTGGGCCCCTTCCGTGGTGAAGGTGTCCTACAAGGTATGTTGCAGCCTGAGGAGGGGTGCGTGGACGTGGGGCAGGCAGGAGAGCAGGGGGTGCACGTGGGTGAGGAGGGACTTGTGTGAATGACACGGTGCATCTATGCATGTTTTCTCACGTTACACGGGTGGGCTCCTGCTGTCGCTGTGCAGCTCGGGTCATTTCATTTCAAGGAGTAATGCCTCCTTGTTAAGTGACGTTACGGCCTCGGTTTGTGGAATATGGTGACATTAATGCATTCACTGAAAGGTTTCATTGTTCTCACTGAGTTTTGGTTACAGCCTGTTCATGTAGGATGACTTAGTGAGTGCAAACCGTAGGCTGCTGAGTGACAGGGGACACCAGGACATGGCCTGCTCCGAGTGCCGTACCCCGTCAAGTGGGGACTCATTGTGCCTCTGGTCTTCATGGAGAAACTGAGACAAGGACGGCCTCACGCAGCCACTTAGTAGCAGAGCAAGATTGTGCCTGTGGCCGCTGGGCTCCCAGGTCCAGGCTCGGCACCCTATGCTCTGAGGGTCTCGGCAGAGGGAGCAGCTTGTGTGGGGAGAACTTGGCACATTTGAGGAGCTAAAAGTCGTTCTGCTGGCAAGAGTTTAGGGAAATGAGTGAAGCTCATTCTGTTTGGAATGTGGGGCCTTGGTCACGTGGGTCTGGATCTTGGAACGGGGAGGGTCCAGCAGGTTTGCTAATAGGGGAGAGGCCAGAGCTGCCATTAGGGAGCGATCACAGCGGCCTGCACTCATGTGGGAGTTACTGAGGGGGAGGCCCCGCTTTCCGGAATGGAGGCCTAGGTGGGGACCAGAAAGAGGAGGGCCTGGGAAGCTGAGCTGGTTGAACACGAGAAGTGGGGCGGGTAGAGGTGCAGGCGACAAGTCCCCAGGGGCCTGGGCAGTGCAGTGCCCACCCTCTCTCCGCTGCCTGCAGTTGGCGTTCTGCACGCAGAGTTGGAGGATGGGCCGCGACCTGCCCGTAACTCTGGGAGGCTAAGATGTGCACCTTCTCTCCCTCACAGGGCTCTCCGGCAGCCAGACGTGCTTTCGTCCCCCAGCTCCGGAGTGGCAAGTTCAATGTCTTGCTCACGACATACGAGTACATCATTAAGGATAAGCACATCCTCGCGAAGGTAGCGTGTTGCCTGTAAAAAGCAGCCAGCCTGGGCGTCACGTGCTTTCAGGGAGCCCCGATCCTGCCCAGGATTGTCGTGTGTGTCGCGTCCCCCTTCTTCTCAAATCCCTGCAGATCATTTTTCAGTGATTCCCCTGCACGTGTGTAAAAGACAGCTACTCCATGTGTGTGAAAGACCCCGGTCAAGGTGACCTTGGGTTTGCCTCTTTGTCCCCGGGCTGGCCCTGCGTCATGTCTGGAGACTGGGGCCGTTTACACAGTGTGTGAACCAGCTCCTCTCAGGGCTTCTGCCCAGAGAGCCTGGCCACACCTAGTGCCTCCCACCCAGCCTGTCCTGCCTGTCATGACCCTGGCAAGGCAGTGATGCAGTCCCGCAGTGTCTCCACCTGTCTCTAGAGTTCTTAACCTCTGCCTGGTGGCTGTGTCTCCCCACCACCGCGCACAGGAAAGCAGCCCATGAAGCATGTGGGATTCGGCATTCGGGGCCTAGCACTCCAAGGCCTTGTGTATTCTGTTGGCCTTGGGCCACCAGGTTGGCATGTTCAGGAGGAGCTGTGCAGGCCCGGGAGCCTCTTAACTGACAGAGTTGTGCAGGCTGCTGTAATTAGGCCATCAGTGAACTACTGACAATGTACGACGACCCAGATGTAAAGCAGGCACCATCCCCTGTCCTCAAAAAGCTCTCTTCCTGCTTCAGGAAGGGGTTGAGCCAGAAAATGCTGTGTCTATTCTAACCACACAGGGGAGTAGAGTCGAGTGGGGGAGCTTTTGACCCAGGGATGCAGATGTTCTCCTGTTACCATGCCTGTGGGCTTCATCATATTGACACCTAGTGCTTCATATGCATCCCCAGCTGCAGATGTGGAAACTGAGGCCCAAGGAGCTAGTATCCAGCGTATAGTATAGGCTCTTACCCTCCGGCCTGTGCCGTGGGTCACCTTTCTGACCCAGCACAAAGCCGGGCCCATCCCAAGCATGAGAAAGGGCTCTGAAAATCCTGCATTTATCTGACAGTGGCTCACGTAAATGCCCTCCATGGGGGTTCCTCGTGGGCAGTGGCTGCTAGGCCCCTCCCCCAGTCAGTCCTGCCCTTTTCATCTGCGATATCGACAGGCACTGCTTCAGTCAGGCCACACTGGGTCCCTGGGAGATCGAAGCCAAAGCCAGAGTGGCTGTGAGACTGGTCACAGTCATACGTAAATGGAGATTTATGCCCACGGCTCCCACCTGCAGACTCACACTTGCCGTTAGACTTGGCGTCTAGCCTGTGTCCACTGGGCATGTGGCCGCTGACAGGCTCTGGGGCGTGGCCGGGCCCCGGAGCTCACTCGCTGGGCCTGCCTGTGCTGCTCCTGCGTTAGGACCTCGGCCTGCTGATTGGAAAACACGCCCGTTACTGAACCACGCCCCCTGGAGACCCCACCCTGGAGGGCTTCTGGTCTGCAGGGGCCACGTTTGGGGGATTTTTTTCTGTGCCAAATACTAGCATATGTAATTTTCTTGGAAAACCAAAGTCCTTTTCTGCACCTGCTTTACTCACCCAATAGCAGGTCACGGGCATGTCTCCCTGTCCATGTGTAATCCTCACCCCACACTTTACAGAGGCTGCGGTGTGTGGCTGTCACTCGGTGCACTGGTCTCTTGTCAGAGGACTTTGTCGTACCCACATTTTCCACCAACGGGCTGTTCCGCCCGAAGCCTTCTTGCCTAACGGTCCTGAGACTCCCGCCTAGCCGGACAGTCCCCGTGCCTGTCCTCCCCTGACCGCCTGCTCTCGGGCCCGCAGATCCGTTGGAAGTACATGATTGTTGACGAGGGCCACCGCATGAAGAACCACCACTGCAAGCTGACGCAGGTCCTCAACACGCACTACGTGGCCCCCCGCCGCCTGCTGCTGACAGGCACGCCGCTGCAGAACAAGCTGCCCGAGCTCTGGGCGCTCCTCAACTTCCTGCTGCCCACCATCTTCAAGAGCTGCAGCACCTTCGAGCAGTGGTTCAACGCGCCCTTCGCCATGACCGGGGAGAAGGTGGGTGTGCAGCCGGCCCCGTGGGGGTGGGGCGGGGCAGGGAGTCGCCATCACTGGCCCCAAGCATCTCCGAGGACCATCCGAGTTGGACAGTCTCGGGGCTTCCCTGACCCTGCGCCTCAGGCACAGGGAGGAAGGCCCAGCTAGTGCTTGAGGGGATTTAGATCTCACCCTGAGATTTCAGTCAGGGAGTGATGTGGTCAGATTAAGTATCTTCAGTTTTTAAAAAGTGTTTTGTTTTAAACCCTGTGGCCGGTGTCCCTTGAGATCTATGGCTGTGGTTGGCACAGTCAGTCTGCTTGTGGACCAGTTGCGTTTTCTGTTGAAGAAGATTGAGATCTGAGTCTGGTGCCTGCGGTAGCGGGCACAACTGCAGGGTTGAGGCGCATCTCTGCCCCTGCAGCCGCGTCTGGGGCCGCGGGGCCGCCATGCCCTGACAGAGGGGCTGCTGTCGTCCTCAGCCACGAGCTCCCCCTCCTTGGTGCTGTTTGAGGCAGAAGCCCTCCTGAAGGAGGGACTGAAGCCTTTCCGAGAGCCTCATGATAAAGGAGACCCCAGTTTTCATACTCCCAGGATCCCATCCCAGGAGCTGAGGAATAAATGCTCTGGTTTCACTAATTTTCAAGTTGAATAAAAGCCAAAGAGGAAGAAAAGATCAGATGTCATCTTATTTTTCACTTTAAATTTTTTTTTTTAATTCAGCGTCTTATCAGAGTAGCAGGCCCCCAGGGAGAGCAGCATTTCTTTCCCTCGGTCCCACCCAGGCTGAGGCGACAGTGGATTTGGGCTCCTGGTGACAGAGCCCTCCATGAGAACAACCCGCATTATACCAAATGCTCCATAAACGTGGCCCAGGCAGTGCCATCTAACTTTAGTTTGGACATGTTGGCGGGTTTCTGACACCGAGTTTGTTATGCTCTTGGGGAAGTGACACTGTGTGCTGCCATGTTTTAGTCCACAGGGGCCCTCGCTTCCATGTCCCAGCACTTCCACCGAAGGTCCCTGATCTTTGCAGTTTTCCAAAGGGAAAGAGTGCCCTGCCAAGCTCCCATAAAGCTTAAGGCTGGAAAGAAGGCGCCAAGGGCAGGGTGACTCCAGTCACTCCCAGTGACTCCTGTCTCTCCCCGCACCCCCTCTCCCCTCTTTCGGAAGTAACGCTCACACTCAGTTTACACATCTCACCGGGGGGCCAGGTGGACCTGAACGAGGAGGAGACCATTCTTATCATCCGTCGTCTCCACAAAGTGCTGCGGCCCTTCCTGCTCCGGCGGCTCAAGAAGGAAGTCGAGGCTCAGTTGCCTGAGAAGGTACCATGTTGGTTTTGAGTGGGAGAGGCATCACACAGGGGTCTCCATGAGATGGGCCCTGTCAGCTGGCTTTCCTGGTCCCAGGCCTGGCCCTGGTCTTACCTCAGCATTTAAGGGTCTGTCCGGCCTGGGGACTGCCACTTACCCACCACTGGGCCTCTAAAGCAAAGGCAGGTGTGCTCGGTTAGAGCACTAAGTCCCACCTGCTGTCCGTGGGCCAGGTGCCTGGGCAGGTTCTGCCTGACCACATGGTAGGTTGAGGGGGAGCAGCTTGGAGGCTGTGAGCTTGTCTTGGACTTGCTCCCCTGAGGGGCTTGGGGTTCCTGGCCAGTCGCCCCTCCAGTCATATTTGTCCTTTGTATTTTGTCTGGCTTTGGAGCAGCCTTTGGAAGGTAGCCATGTTGCCCCTTCTGGCCCAGGATGTCCCCACATTTCTTCATCCTGGTGCATCTGCCATAGTCCATCTCCCTTCATCCCTCAGCTGTGGGGGCCCTGATCAGAGCACACATCTCAGGGCCCAGGATGCCCCTGAGAGGCTGGAAGATCAGAGATGGCCAAGGCTAGGGGCTAGGCTCCGGGACCCTCAGCCCCAGCTGACCGTGGCATGTGCCCCGCAGGTGGAATACGTCATCAAGTGTGACATGTCTGCCCTGCAGCGCGTGCTCTACCGGCACATGCAGGCCAAGGGGGTGCTGCTGACTGATGGCTCCGAGAAGGACAAGAAGGTAGGCCCTGGGCCCCCTTCCCCACCTTGGTGTCCATGGCAGGCGGGTTGTTGTGGGGCAGCTAGGTGTGTGGGGCTTAAGCATGCTGTAACTGGCAGGTCTTTCATCTCCTTAGAGATGATTGTTGTGACCAAAGCTTCATCTGGTCATGGTCCCGAGGGCATTGACTAGCCCTGGTTTAAATCATGGCTGGTGTGAGCAAGTCCAGTCTGTAGGGCTAATAGAACAGGGGCTGATGGCCCATTTCCAGGGAGTCCCCCAAGAGCCTCCCAGTCCACACTGTCTGGGGTCCTCACTTCATGAAGTGGTGGCCCCCAGGGTGCACCAGTCATCAGCGTGGGGCCCAGCAGGGACCCCAGCAGCTGGCGTTCTAGTGAGTCCCACCTTCCCAGCTGGGGAAGAGCTGCCTCGGCAGCCATGGCTTTATCTTGTTACTGCATGAAGTTGGGGTGATGTTAGTTTACGGTGGTGAGGAGGGGGGCTGAGAAGGCTGCTGCCTCCTGGGACCCTCTGAGGTCCCAGGCCCCACCCACCCCAGCTGCCCTCACCAGGACTGAAATTGTGCTCCCAGGCCCCTCAGCTCTGCACCCGATGCCTCGAGCTCAGCCCTCCCTCCCCGTTTCCTCCTCTAGATGTTTTGTTCGGGCCCTTTCCTACCTGAGTAGTTGCAGCAGCATGTTTTCTGGTTTACTTCTTGGCCTACCACACCCTCCCCTGCATCCTCCCTTCACCCTGCACCCAAGACCTTCTAAGGTCATCGTGGCCCATCCAGCTGTAGCCCCCTGGGGACACACGGTGCCCACAAAGCAGGCCTCGCAAAGTGTTTGTGATCTGGTCTCAGCCCTTTGCCAGTCATGCTTTCCTTCTCTCCTGCTGGCCCTTCCTCACCCTCCACCCTCCAGGGTGCCAAGGAGTCTCTGCTGCCCCCAGCACAGGCTTCAGGCCTCTGAGCCACAACAGGAGCCAGCTCCAGGCTCCCTTTTTCCTCTGCCACAAGCCCGGCCTCCCCCTGAAGCACCTCCTTCCACGTCTGCCCCAACCTACCCCATCCCACCGTGGGACAAGGCCGATTTGGGAGCCTCTCTTCTGCCTCCTCAGGGCAAAGGCGGCACCAAGACCCTAATGAACACCATCATGCAGCTGAGGAAGATCTGCAACCACCCATACATGTTCCAGCACATCGAGGTGAGGCCCTTGGCCGGGCGGCAGGCCCAGTAGCACCCGGAGCTCGTGGGCCTCAGCCCAGCACCAGGCCCTGCTCTCCAAGTCGTGTGTCTGTGCTGAGCCCCTGGGCAGAGCTTGGTTGTGTCTTTCTGAAACTTTAAAGAGGAGGAGTTTGTATTGCTTCTCGGCCCTTTGGCTAAAGTCAAGTGTGAAGAGGAAGAGTTTGTGATATCTAGGGTGGGTGCCGCCTGTGCATTTGTCTTTTTATTGATTTCCTTTTTGTAAATGCTTATTGTACAGAATCCAGATGGTGTAGAGAAGTACGCGAGAGACGGCAGCCCCCCTCAGGGCTGTCCTCTGGGGTCCTTTCCCACCCTGCTGGGCTCGAGCTTCCGCTGCTCTTTGGCTACTAGCCTCTCCCACTTGGAGCATTGAGAGCAGTGTCCCTCTTCATGATGACTCTGGCCAGAACCTTTCTGGGCCACAGTGCCCCTTAATATGAGTCTGAATTCTTGCTTCTGAAAAGCACACATACGTCCACATACTTTGAAGTTTCAGAGTCATTGCAAATGCCCTGACGCCCCCGGAATTCCATTCAGGGCTCCGAGGAGGGTCTCGGGGGCCTACTGTCCTTGTACACTCCTTTTGGTGGCTAAGAGTGTTCTGTTGTGAGAGAAGGGATGTCGGCAGGATACAAAAACCACGTTCAGAATCTGTTTGTGGCCTCAGGGTCATCGTGGGCAGTTGCTGAGCACCGGCCGAAGGGCTCAGAGGCGTGGGTCCCGGCTGCCTGTTCCTGCCCCCGCTGACCCGCCTCTCATTCCACTTGCAGGAGTCCTTTTCCGAGCACTTGGGATTTACCGGCGGCATCGTCCAAGGGTGAGAGTTTTCCTGGCTTCATGGGGTGGGCAGATGGTCAGTGTGCAGGGGTTTCTCTCTGATTGGCCTTATCACTGTTGTTACATTTGTTCAAGTTTAAAGGCAGTATATTCGTGGCAGAAAATTTAGAAAACATAGATGAACATAGACATAGAAGAGAATAAAAATTCTCCACTTTGAGAGTTGACAAGACCTGGCTTCCAGGCCCCACTCTTCCACCTCTGGGCTCCGTGACCCATGACAGCTTTCTTAACCACTCTGAGCTAAAACTCTGCCTGGCAACAGAGAGTTACTTTCTATATAGGGTGCTGCCCATCTTGCTTTGGCTGTGGTATTGTTTATAAAGTGCGGCCTGGGCACTGTTTTGCCCTGGTGTTAGACGTGGATGCTGCCTCAAGGTTTCGCTGTTACAAGCAGCCTTGCTAAAAACACTCTTAGAGCTAAAGCCGCCATCATTTTTCTGGGATAGTAAACTGTTTTCAAGAGCAGGGGGCACCAAATAAAAGAGCAAAAGTTTCTTTTACTGTGTAGATTTTTTTATATCAAATTGCATAATGGGATCTCACAGACCTGGGTTTGAGTCTTTGCCTCGGCATTTCAGCAGCCACATCACCCTGTCCCTCAGCCTCAGTTTCCACGTCTGTAAACCGGGAATGAATGACAGGCACTGTGGGGGCCCTTAGCCCTACATGTGGTGTGGTGGGCATTCTCCACTGTGACCCTTGGCTCCTAGAAGGTTCTTTACCAGAAGGCCCGGCTTCCCAGGGCAGCCCTGTCCACGCCTGTTGTTCTGTCATCTTTACCAACACCACCTCCTTTCATTCTTAAAAGTATCAGAGTTGGTCAGGTCACCCTGGACCAAGGGTGGCATGAGTTTATTTTAGTTGGGTTGAAATGGCTTTGCTGAAACTTGGGGCAAGGGGAACGTAGTCTGCCGGGGAAGCCACTTGTGTGCCCCTGAGCCTGACGGCCAGCCTGCCCAGGCCAGCTCAGGTAGCCTGGAGAGGGTGCACGCTTCCTTGTTTGCCTGTCTGCAGGGCGCTGGGGTTCACGTTGTGTGTCCTTCCCTGTACCCTCACCCCCTACCAGACTGGACCTGTACCGAGCCTCCGGGAAATTTGAGCTGCTCGACAGAATTCTTCCCAAACTCCGCGCCACCAACCATAAAGTGCTGCTGTTCTGCCAGATGACCTCCCTCATGACCATCATGGAAGACTATTTTGCGTATCGTGGCTTTAAATACCTCAGGCTTGATGGTGAGTAAGACTGGGAGAGACATTTGTTAAAGGTTTTGTTACCCGCTGCTGCCGAAGCCCCTGGCTAACGTGCCCTCCCTTGCAAGGCAGGGTGAAACCCAGAGACTCTAGGTTTAGAGGTGGGACTGGGCATAGCGACACACTCAGTGACACCCTGGGAGGGAGGGCCTGGGAGCATCGTGGCTGTCTCTCCTGACTGTGAGGCTTACGGACCCTGCACTTTAACACTGGGTCCAGTGGTTATGGGGTACCCTACAGTACTGTTTTGGTTGGAAGTGACAGAAACCCATATCCTGTGGACATAAGGAGGAAGCTCTTGATATGTTCACGTACTTGAACCTCAAGAGTTAGCTTGCTTCAGGCACAGCTGGATCCAGGTACCCAGATGATGTTGAAGGGGCTTTTCGGGAGCTCTTGGCTCCTTTTTCCTCCATTTTGGCTTCAATGTCAGGTGTCCTCTCCTGGCTTTTCTTCTGGCTGCTCAGCATCCTGAACAGGCAAGCAGCTTGTCTTTTCCCCCCCGAGATCTGGGGGCCAGCTCTCCTTAAGCTCCTCTCTCTACCGCCCGGGTGGCTCTGGAGCTGTTGCCAATCAGGCCTGGAGCTGTAATCACGCCTTTATGTGCTGGAACCTGGAGCCCAGAAAGTAGCAGGAAAGAGAAAGAGGGAGGGAGGGAAACAGAGTGATAGAGGCTATATTCCCCTGGGAACAGCATTCAACCATGACCCCATGTGCTCATAGGAAGCCCTGTTTCTGCCTTGTTCCCGGCATGTGGGAGCTCCGGGGCGGGGGGGCTGGGTGAGGTGCTGACAGAGTGCAGGACCCATGGTCTGACACATCTGCTGCTCAGGAAGTCCCTCAAGGGAGTCCCCCGCCTTCTTTCAGATGGAGCGAATGGGGCTCTCGAGAAAAATGGATTTGGGAGCCCCTAGGGTAAACACAGTTCAAAAGTGTGGGGTAAACCACACTTCTCAGAGCCTTCATCTGAGCTATGAGCTCATTGCCGCAAGTGTTGCCACGTGCGTTTCTATGGCTGGACACCCTAAAACTCTTTGCCTCCGTTTTGTCTTTCACTGTGCATCTTCTGGAACTGTGGTTTCTCAGAGTGTGGACCTGTGGTTGCTGGGCTGATCTGTCCGTCGGTTTCTGCCCTCCTCACCCCTACTCCGAACATGTCTTACCTTCCTTCAGCCTGTTCTTGGAATTCTGTCCAGGGCAGTGTTTACAGACAGCTCTGGTCGTGTGTCCTCCTTCACCCCGCTTCCTTCAGATGCTGCGTGTGGCTTGGAGACTAAAAGCCGCTCCCCCTGCCAAGGCCCATGCGGCCGGGTTCCCCTTGCCCCCACCCTGTGCTCTGGCCTCTCCAGCAGCCTCTCCATTTTCAGTGCCTTAGCCTTTGTGAGTGCTGCTCCTTGTCTGTCACCCTCCTGACCCTTAGAGGAGAGGCCCGGTGCAGAAAGTGTATTTCCACCCACCCCTGCACTCATCCATTTGTCCCCTTTTTCCCTTTTCTCCATTTTGAGAGTCCTCTCTGTAAGGTTGAGGACTTGGGCTCAGTTATGACTGCATCTCTAGAACCTCGAGTGGTCACTGTTACGTGGGCAAAAAAACCCTGGAAAAGAGCAGCAAAGACCCCTCCATCTGCCGCAGCCCTGCCCAAGGCCTCAGCCCCGCCCGGAACTGGGGCAGCCGTGGGCACATCTGGAGCCCCGGCCTCCACTTTCTCCATTGCGATGTGTAGGCGACAGCTGGAGGCATCTGATTCTCATTTCATCACCAGAAATGACACCTGGTTTTGCCAGAGGCACCTTTGCTCTGAGCTGGCGGTGGCCTGAGGTGCTTAGATGTCCCTGTGAGGCTCACGATGCTGAGGATCATGTCTTGGGCCATCACATGAGAGTTATGTGGCTCCTTGAGAGGAAGACATGTCCCCATTATGGGATGCCTGTGTGCTCCCCTGTGGACAGTTCCCTCTGTGAGTGGGCACCAGCCCTCTGACCAGTTGCTCATTACCATAGCAGCACTGTCTGCCCACCTGGAGACCCCTGGTGGGTTTTGGGGGCTACAGTGTTTACAGCGTATCGGTGGTGTCTCCTGCCACCCCCTGGACAGCTGGGCAGGCACTCACTGTGCTTCAGCCCCGCCATTTTATCCCACAGCAGCCCCGGTTTATGCAGAGGAGACACCCTAGGCCCGTCGGACTCCTGGGGTGGGAGGAGGGCAGTCAGTAGTGTCACCATCAGTCTGAGTTACCGGCTAGTTGCAGCTCAGAGCCTCGTGTTGAACGAGCGTGGTCGTGGCTCAGGTGGCCCGAGTAGGATGTGTGTGGTACTGTCCCTGCTCTCTGACGCAGGTGTTCCTCTGTGTCTCCTTGCCACCCTGCCCTCGACCCCGATGTCGTCACCCTGCTAACCCCACTCTCCCCACCCCCGACAGGCACCACAAAGGCGGAGGACCGGGGCATGCTGCTGAAAACCTTCAACGAGCCCGGCTCTGAGTACTTCATCTTCCTGCTCAGCACCCGGGCCGGGGGGCTCGGCCTGAACCTCCAGTCGGCCGACACTGTGATCATATTTGACAGTGACTGGAACCCTCACCAGGTAACAGGGGCGGGCCCCCTGTGGGACAGACTTGAAGCCCAAGGGTGACGTGAGGGCCTCCCAGCCTCCTGCCTGCGTCCTCCAGGCCTCCTGGAGTGGCAGTGGCAGCACCTATGGCTCTGGGGGCCTTTGGAAAGAAAGCCAGAGAGTAGTTATTTTTTTCTGTTTCTCAAAACAAAAATAGTTTTTTGCTCTCATTATGAAAAAATACATACTCTGTTGTTAAAAAAAGATAACCTTGGCATCATGTAAATGCATAAGTAGTGTGGAAAACGCCACGGTCCTGACAGCTTGGGGCACTCGTCCATCACTGCACGTCCTTCCAGACCGTGGTCTAGTCAAGCTCCGCACCGGCGCTTCTTAAAGCAACACTTAGGACGTGCTTTGTGCGCTGTGTGTGCCGCTGTTCTTGTTTCTTATCCGTGTGCCCCACATGGGGCTCCTTGCTAGTAGATAACAGGGCTGTGGTATTTTATAGATACAGCGCTTATAAAGTATTTAACTTTTTCCTGTGTTTCGTTATAAAAGCAGTATTTTTTTCCAATGTAAATATCGAAAGCTCAAAGTAAAAAAGTAGAGTCCCTTTCCCCTTCCTCACCAGCCCTGCTCTTCTCTGAGTGTATGCCAGCCTCCCCCGTGTGCACACATGGGGTCTGACCTCGGCACGAGCACTGCGTGTGCTAGCACATGTCTCCCCTCTGGCCGCCGGTGCGCTCATGTCTGCAGGTGAGCACACTGGACTCTCCCCAGCCGTGTCAGCTGGGCTGTCCTGGTGTGTGGCGGCCCCAGGACTTGTAACTCAATCCCCAGTTGGCAAGTGTCTGAGTGTTCTGATTTCGGCGTGACCACTGTCCCCTCAGAATCCTCTTGTTCTTGGCCAGGTCAAGCCTGAGGGGTGTGATTGCTCGGCCCAGGGGCGCGTCCCCTTTACTTTCTGGTTGGTTCTGCCAAAGTGTCCCCCATCAGGCTGCCCCAGCTTCCTCTCCTATTTGCTGTGCGAGCGGGCCCCTCCCCGCAGCCTGGCAGCACTGGTTTTCACTGTATAGGTGGAAGCCCACCTGCTAGATGGGTGCCCAAGTGGTTGCGAGCAGCCCTTGCTGTCAGCCTGGGGAGCAGTTCCCACCCGGCCCTCGGTGATGGGCCTGTTTCCTGAGAGGTGGCTGGAGTCTGCTTCCCCCAGCAACAGGCAGACAGTGGGTAGAGACCCCCGTGGAGCCCTGACCTCCCCCACGCTAGGGTGCATCCGAGGTCATGAAGCTCACTCTAGGGCAGGGTTGTGTCACTGGGTACTGGCCCCGCCAGGAATTACGTAGGCAAAGCTCGGGGTGAGGGGGGTGGCTGAACCATGGATGCAAGGCACACCTGTTCCTGCCAGGTGTGGCCTCTGCCACCCCCATTGGGTGCAGATCTCGAGGTCGGCCCCAGGCACTGGATTCCACAGGAGACCTTCTGGTTCTGCGCCGGGCACGACAGTACAAATAGCGTTGGCAGACATGCCTACCGCTTTATTGGAGCTTGCTCCACACCGGGCCCTGGGCTGAGTGCCCAACGCCCATTCACTCCTCTCACATGTACACTAACCACGAGGGGTGGCTCGTGTCTGCAGAGCGAATCCTAAGGCTCACAGAGGTGGAGCCAAGGCTTCATGACAAGGAAATGGCAGGGCCTCCAGGCATCAACATATCACCCAGCTTTGGCGCCATTCTGTAAATATTGCCCTTGCCGTGACATGGCCCTGCCGGGCTCAGGGCCCTCCTAGGGTAGGCCAGGGGGCCTGTGCAGCCGTGACAGGAGCTGCTTGGGAATATAACACCCTGGGTGGCCCTCTAAAACTGCTTTCTTTCCAAACATCTGTGAAATCCCAGTTAAGGTAGAAAATGACACTTGTGCAGGCTGAAATCAACCTGGCACAGGCTCCCGGTCTTGTTCCTGAGCTGCTGGCCCTTGCAGCTGGCAGAATGGCCAGGCAGACACATGAGAATTGGAAAGCCCCTGCCTTTCCCAGTCCATCCAAAGGCTCAGGACTGACCGGCCTCTCCTCTCCTAGGACCTGCAAGCACAGGACCGTGCCCACCGCATCGGGCAGCAGAATGAGGTGCGTGTGCTCCGCCTCTGCACGGTCAACAGCGTGGAGGAGAAGATTCTGGCTGCGGCCAAGTACAAGCTCAACGTCGACCAGAAGGTGATCCAGGCTGGCATGTTCGACCAGAAGTCCTCCAGCCACGAGAGGCGCGCCTTCCTGCAGGCCATCCTTGAGCACGAGGAGCAGGACGAGGTGAGGGCAGCGCCAGCCCCCACCCCCTCCCCGGCGTGAGTGGTGGACGCATGAGCGGCTTTCATTTTTGTTTTTTACCTTTTTTGCACTCTTATTTTTTTTCATCCCTTTGGAGTAAAGGGAGTGTGGGCTGAACGGAAAGAGGATGAGTACTTGCTTTTTCTTTGAAGTGGTTTTTTTTTCTAAACTGCTGGTGAAAGACGCCGGATTGACAGCCCTGGAGACTGAAGTCCTCTATTTATCCACAGAGCAGACACTGCAGCACGGGCAGCGGCAGTGCCAGCTTCGCCCACACTGCCCCTCCGCCAGCGGGCGTCAACCCCGACTTGGAGGAGCCACCTCTAAAGGTGAGAGGGGTAGTTCAGTCTCCATGCCCATTCAATCCTCGGCTTCTCGGCTGAGACGGCCAGCAAGGGCCCTGATCCCACGGAGCGTGCGTGTGCGTGTGCGTGTGTGCCTCCCGCTGCCGTGTGGGTCCCCATCCACCGCAGCCAGACTGGGACCGCCAGCTCATTTCCCATGGACCGCCGCCGCTCGCCTCCGAGCCCGGCCGCCGCCCACCCTGGCCTCGCCACACCCGAACTAAGCGTGTGAAATCTTGTAGGAAGAAGACGAAGTGCCTGACGACGAGACAGTGAACCAGATGATTGCCCGGCACGAGGAGGAGTTCGACCTGTTCATGGTAAGCGCTGTGGGCTGGGCAGAAGAAAGGGCAGCCTTGCCACCTTGCTCACCTTTCGGGTGTTCAGTTTCCTGCCTGTGTGACACGCAGGTGCTCAGATTCACACCCCTCCCTGCTGACACCAAACAGACCAGGAGGTCTCAATGACGGTGGCGTCCCCAGCAGGTGATGGAGCCGAGTGCATGCCTTTGGGTGGCCCCACAGTGACTCCTAATGGTGTCGTGGGGATGGTGGGAGACACATACATACACAGCTCTGCTCTGGCTTGTCGTCCTTGAAGCTCCCTTTCAGGGGAACTTAATACTGTCCTTAGTCATAGATGTCCCCGCCCCTTTTGGGCATGGAATCAGGCGCCCTTGGCTCCAGCAGGCTTGTGCCTCCCACCAAGGCCTTACATGGAGCCACTACCCCATAGTCCCCTTTCGCCACCTCCCTGTCCTCTTGGGTTCTCTCTGCCCTTGAAGCAGAGCCTCAGCCAGGATCTGATTTGGGGCCCGTCCAGCGCAGCGACCACCAAGCCGAGCTGCTGTGTAACTCCCGATGCAGCATTGGGCCTGGGGCAGGGCAGCAGCCCCCGTCAGGGCGCCCTCTTGTGTCTGCTGACTGGCCCCATGCTGATGCATCTCCCTCTGTCCCTGCCGCCCGCACCCTGCAGCGCATGGACCTGGACCGCAGGCGCGAGGAGGCCCGCAACCCCAAGCGGAAGCCACGGCTGATGGAGGAGGATGAGCTCCCCTCGTGGATCATCAAGGATGACGCCGAGGTGGAGCGGCTGACCTGCGAGGAGGAGGAGGAGAAGATGTTCGGCCGTGGCTCCCGCCACCGCAAGGAGGTGGACTACAGTGACTCGCTGACCGAGAAGCAGTGGCTCAAGGTACATGCTGGAGAGGGCCGAGGGCGGGCCTCTGGGAGTGCAGGGCTCGGCCATGGGGACTCGGGCCTTTGTCCCAGACCTGAGGAGGTTCCTCTCAGCTGTTTCTGGTCAGTTTTGTCACAACAGTGACCCGCTGATGTGGGGTCAGGTTCACTCTGTTCCTCCTGCTGGCTGGCAAGAAGGGCCCCTGTGCACTTCCCAGGCAGCTCAGAACCCCTGCCAGTTGGAATTGGCCATTTAGGTGTGAGGTTAGAGTAAGCGTTGCCAATCCCAGCACAGGGCTGGCCCATGATAGGTTAGGGACCGTTGAGTCACCCTGTGAGCTGGTTCGGAGAGCTGATGGGGGTCAGGCAGCCCCACTTTGGGCACATCTCCCCTGAGAGCTATGGGGAGGAGGAAGGAGCAAGTCTCCGCCTGAGGCTCTGGGCACCAGCTGCTCAGGGGGGTGGTGTGAGCACCCATGTCAGCAGGTGGCAACTGGCCCTTACAGTAGCAGCTGTCGACATCCGAGTCAGGGCTGCGGGTGCCTTTTGGGCCCTCCTGACTCGGCCCCGCTCCTCCCCACCCCAGCCGAGGGCACTCTGCCCCTCTGCACCTGCTCGGGTGCCCGGCACTGAGGTCAGCACTGGGGTTACAGTGACAAATCAGACCCCACCCCTTCTCGGGTGCTCTGAGTGCAGAGGTGATGATTGAGAATCCAACCCTCATTTTGTTGTCCCTGAAACAATACTTCGCAGGAGGCGGGTGGCAGCTTTTGGCTACGCCCTGCTGCAAGCTACGCCCTGGAATGAGCGGCCATCCCCTGACCCCCAGGCCTGTGTTCACACACCCAGGTGTTCCCTTTGATTAACTTCAGCCCTGGTGCTTTCTCAACCATGTGGCCAGGGGGCCCTGGTCCCCTCCTGGGAGCTCAGAACACCATAGACTTGCAAACTTGCCTGCTGAGCCATGCGCGGAGGAGCTGCTGAAACCTGCCAGGGAACCACTGAGCCGGGGGTGGGGCCGGTGGGCTGTCCCATTCCCACCATCAGTCCAGGGCTCCAGGGCCCAGAAGAGAACCCTCAATGAGAGAGCGTCGGCCCAAACCCAGCCCATTCCAGCTCCCTTGGGGGCTTTCCCAGCCCTGCATCATTGAGGCAGTGGGTGCCCTTTGAAAAATAGCTGCCCATGTGCTAATAATGCTATGTGCACTTTCTTTCTTTCTTTCTCTCTCTCTCTTTCTTTCTTTTATTTTTTTTTTGAGATGTAACTTACATACCACGGAATTCATTCACTTCAGACGTACAATTAGTGATTTTTAGTATATTCACAGAGTTGTGCAGCCATCACCACAAATGAAGTTTAGAACATTCTCCCCCTAGAAGAAGCCTTTTCTTCTTTAGCTATCTTCCCACCCCTTTACTCCCCCTGGCCCTTGGCATCCAATAAGCAACTTTCTATCCCATTGATTTTGTCTATCCAGGACATTTTCTGTAAATGAAATCACATAATGTGTGATCCTTTGATGTCTGGTTTCCTTCACTTAGCAAAATACTTTCAGGGTTCATCCAGATTCTAGCATGTAACAGGACATGATCTTTTTATGGCTGAATAACATTCCATCCTGTGGACAGACAGCCTTTGATATCCATTCATCAGTTGACGAACATTGGGGTGGTTTCCACTTTTTAGCTGCTATGAATTTTGCTGCTGTGAACGTTTGTGTACAGGTTCTTGTGAGGACATACATTTTGATTTCTCTTAGGTGTATACCTGGGAGTGGATCAAATAGTAATTCTTTGTTTAACCCTTTTGAGGGACTAAAACTGTTTTCCAAAAAGGCTACACTATTTTACATCCCCCCCCAGCAGCATATGAGAGTTCCAGTTTCTCCACGTCCGTCCTCACTAATACTTTTTATTAGTCTCTTTGATCCTAGCCATCCTAGTGGGTGTGCCGTGGTGTCTTCTTGTGCTTCTGAATTGCATTTCCCTGGGGGCTTGTGGTGTTGCGCAGCTTTTCACGTGATTACTAGCCATTTGTGTATCTTTACAAGTCTCTTACTAGACATATGATTTGCAAATATTTTCCTACTCTACAGGGCTTTTTTTTTTCTGCTTTCTTGATGTCCTTTGAAGCACAGAAGTTTTTAATTTTAATTAAGTCCAATTTCTCTGTTTTTCTCTTTTTGTTGGTTCCTTGGTGTCATGTGTGAGAATCCACTGCCAAATCTAAGGTCACAAAGATTTACCCACTGTTTCCTTTTAACATTTTTAGAGTTTCAGCTTTTACATTCCGGTCCATGATCCTTTCTGAGTTAATTTTTACATATGGCAAGAGGTCGGGTTCCAACTTCAGTGTTTTGCGTTTGGCTGACCTGTTGTCCCAGCACCATTTGTTGAGGAGACAGCTCTTTCCCGTTTGAGCACATGCCTCGTTATATGTCATACTCAATAAAGTTTATGGTAATAAAAAATGTATTTACCCCCAACAGACACTCCTCTGTCTTAGTGGTGGACGTGTCATGGGCACCACTTCTCTGGTAGCCCTCTGATGCCAGGTGTACCCAGACCCTTCAGAATGTGCCTGGCTCTGGCCCTGCTGGGCTGTGTTTCTCGGGCACGGGACCAGAGGCACTGCTGTTAGATTCCGGGGGCTGCTGTAATGGTTACTGCAAACTCGGTGGCTTAACACAATAGGAATTCCCCTCTCACAGTTCCGGAGGCTGGGAGGTTGAAATCGAGGTGAAGGCTCTAGAGGAGGATCCTTCCTTGCCTCTTCCAGCTTGTGGGCCTCAGCCTCCTGTGGCTTGTCACTGAGTCAGTCCAGTTTCTGTCCCTAGTGTCCTCTGTGTGGCCTGTTCTGTCTCGTTGGATTTGGGCCCACCCTAGTACAAGATGATCTTGTCTCGATCCTTAAGTGATTATGTCTGCAAAGACCCTATATCCTGTGAGATCACAGAGATTCCACGAATATATGAATTAGAGGGGACACTATTCAACCCTTGGCACACCCTCCCCCATGCCAACTTCCTTTTAGTCCTTCCTGCCTGCTCTGCATCTCTATGCTGTTCCTTTGGCGTAGGGGCCTTTCCCTCCCCTGACCCTTTAAACCTCAGCTGAAGTGCCAGCTCTGGGGAGCTCTCCTCCATCCCCAACCAGGACACATCTGTTCCACCATCCCTCAGAGCACCACTCACCCTCCTCAGCATTTGACGGACTTACCACATTTGTGAGATGTTTGTCACTGTCTCCCCTCCAGGAGGCTTGTGTTCAGTGCTGTGTCCTCAGTACCTGGCCCCGTGCCCCACTTACAGTCGCAGCCAATAACCATGAGAAGAATAACCAGTGTGTCCCTCTGGGTCCAGGCCCAACCCCCTTTTCTGATTTCAAGCTCTCCCAGAAACCTGGCTTCCCATCACTTGTGTTCAGGGTAAAACGTGAGTTAGTTTTTATCATTAAGAATTAATGAATTGGAATTATTTTAAAATTAATGTTCACAACCATGTCTTTTGACTTCAGCAGTTTCACTTCCAGGAATCTCTCTAAAAAAAAAAGGATATCATTTGTGGCAGTACTTAGAACAACCACCCGCCCACCCCACCCCCTAAATTGGAAAGAACCTAAACACCCAAGAACAGGGGAAGGTTAAATTAGGGCCCATTGCGTGAGGAAATAATAAGTAGACGTTAAAAATTATGTTGCAGAAAGACGAGAGGAAATATATCCAGGACACAGTAAACAAAAAGATGAGTCGTGACCTGGTACGTGGCTCCTATTCCAGTGCTGCCTCGGTTGTGCACATGCGCGTGATGGGTGGGGGCGTCCCACAGGTGGACGGTGGTGATGGCTGCACAACGTGAATGTACCTCATGCCACTGAGCTGCGCACTTGAACATTGTTGAAGTGGTCAATTTTCTGTTACGTGTGTCTTACCACATTTTTAAAAAAACGCGGAACATCTGGAGGAGAAGCATTGATGGTGTCACCTCTGGGTGGAGGGTTTACAAGAGCCCCTTCTGCAGGCCCCACACAGTGAGGATGTGCCTGTTAAATGTGTACACGGGCCGCTCATCTGTTAAAGACGGGCTTGGGTGGGCTGTGGCGGGGGAGGCGGGCGGCCTTGGTGGCCTTGGTGGCCTTCATGGCCTCGGAGCCCGTCCAGAGCCCCAGCGTGTTCCTGCCGCGGCCTCTGCTTGTCGACCTCGGTGCTGGCTGTCCTATTTTACCACTATTGACCCTGAAGGCCATCGAGGAGGGCACGCTGGAGGAGATCGAAGAGGAGGTCCGGCAGAAGAAGTCGTCACGGAAGCGCAAGCGGGACAGCGATGCCGGCCCCTCCACCCCGACCACCAGCACCCGCAGCCGCGACAAGGACGACGAGAGCAAGAAGCAGAAGAAGCGCGGCCGGCCACCCGCTGAGAAGCTCTCCCCCAACCCGCCCAACCTCACCAAGAAGATGAAGAAGATCGTGGATGCCGTCATCAAGTACAAGGACAGGTAAGTGGGGGGCCATCGGGCGGCCTGCCAGCTCCGGCTGGGTCTCTGTGTCTTGGTGCCCCTGCCCTCGCAGGACTCAGCACTCTGGGGTTGGAGGGAGAGCAGTGTCAGCTGTGCCAAGAGGGCCGGGAGGTGGTGTTTGAAAGAAGCACTGAGGAGGGGAGGTCTGGGGACCAGGGCTCCAGCAGAGGCACAGCAGGGGACAGGCCCCAGAAGAGGGTGGCCGGCAGATCCGAGGGCAGTGGCGGGGAGAGCGTAGGGGAGTGGCGTCTGTGCGGTGATGGACACTAGCACGTGGCTAATGGGCTGTGGTGAGGAGGCCTCTGGGCCTGGAGCAGAGAGCCAGGGGCTTTCTTTCTGTGGACCTGGACCCTCAGCGCTTGCTGCCCTCTCCCAACTCGTGTGGCCTCCCTGGGCCATCACGGGTCAGCCACATGTTGAGAGGCATAGACCAGCCGCTCCAGTCTTGAGGTCCTTGCCCTCGACAAACACGGTCTGTCTGTGGGTCATGAGCACTGCGTCAGTAAGTAGAGAGTAACGGCTCCCCAGGAGACATGGGCATGTTCTGCCGGCATGGGGCGGGGCGCTTGGAGCGGCACAAGGCAGCCAGGGGCATCCTTCCCACCCAAGGGTCTCGTTCTACGTTCTGCTACACACGGGCTGATGTGGCTGTCCCGTAATGGGAGGGTTTCACAGCTCGGATTTACAGTAATGCTTAGCAGTTAGTCACAAAGCAAAGCAAGAGAGAGGTTTGATCTGTTGGAGAGAATAGTGCTTCAGATTGGGCCCTAGGTGCGTCACTGGGAGGACCTGTTACCAAGCATGTAACCTTGGGGAGTGGTGACAATTACAGCACCCAAATAAAGGATACAAATTGTTCTTTAAAAAGAATCATTTTTTACTGGAAGAGAGGCGGGTGATGAAGTGGAAAAGAGGCATATTCAAGCTCAGCTGCTGGGCCTGAAAATGTAATTCCTGTTAGTATTAAGAACAAAATATTGAACTCGTTTGCAAGCTTCGCCTTGGAGAAAAATTCCACAAAGGAAGTAGACCAACCATTATTTAAAGCATGGAATGTGCAAATATCCAAAGAAAACGATAGACCCTGCTGTTTTCTTACTGATGAGCTTCTTGTGAGGGAACTTCAACATGGTCAAAATGACAAAGACCCTTGAAGGTCAGCGGGGCAAGGATGGACTTTTCAGAAAGGCATGCTGATCCTTAGGACACCCGTGTGGGGAAGACCAGCTGGGATCCCCTCGCACCACACACTCCTGTTGGTGTGAAATGGATCCCAGACACGAACGTGGCAGGTACAGCGTGGGAGAAGGTCTCCATGGCCTGAGGGCATAGATTCGCTCAATAGGACAGAAACGCCACTGGCTGTAAGACTCAAGTTACACTTCACTAAAATTAAACACATTTGTTCATAAAAGAGCGTCCTCGTGAAGACTGAAAATTGCCATAGGCTGGGGAAAAAATCAATTTTAAAATGGGCAAAAGACGTGAACAGGACGCCCCCTCCTCCTCAGAAATAGAAGAGAGCCTGCTGACCAGTCAGCACGAGAGAAGGAGCTCCGGGTCACTGCGTTAGCATCATGACATGGGGAAGGTGCACAGGAAAACAGTGGGGTGCCTCCCCGCACGCACCCGAATGGCTGAAATCCCTGTAAGTGTCACCAAGGACGTCACACGCTGCTGTGGGAACATGTAGCTCTTGGCAGTGTCTTCTATAGCTCATCACTCAGCTTCTGACCCAGCCACTTCAGTCCTAGTCTTGAGTGCACAGGTCCGCCAGCAGACGTGGGCAGGTGCGTCCAGAGCAGCTCTGATTGTAACTGCCCCAAACGGAACAGCCCAATGTCCACCCACAGGAGAACGTGTCCACGGTGGCCTCGTCAAAGAGAAGAATTCTAACAGCTGCTAGAGCAGACAGACCACCACTTCCGGGAAGAATCTTAACATTTTGTTGAGTGATAGAAGCCAGACACTAAAAAGTGCCTCCTATGTGCTCCCAGTTATAAGAAGTTCAAAAGCTGATGGATAGCAATGAGCATCAAACTGGTTACCCAACGTCAGGAAGGGGCATGGGGGAACCTGGGACGCTGGGATCTTTTGTGCACATGAAACACTCACCATGGTATGTACCTAAGATACGTGCACTTTCCTGTAGGTGGTTACACCTCGGTTAAAAAAAAATGGACACTTGGAAACAGCATCCTGCATTTGTTGGTAAAGCTTTGGATATTTTCAAACTAAAGAAAAAGAGTCAAATGTCAGTCCACTTTCTTAGCTATCCTGTGTCTTACAGAGAATCCATCCGAGCATTGCATTTAGCTGTACATTGTGTGACATGAGAAAATGCCTCCCCCCCACCCCCGGCCACCACAAACAGTTGTTCTTCCAGCTGTGCAAGACTGGGTGGTAAATCGGGTAGTAGATTAAAACCAGCTCTTACGGGTCAGGGACCCTTGTCAAGACCGTTCTCTTGCAGGATGCTGAGAGCCTGGTGGGAGTTTTGAGATCCGGCCTAACGAGAACCCCAACACTCAGAGCTCTGCTCCCAGCTGTGTCTGACCCATGTGGCGCTGTCTCAGCAGAGGATGTGCCCTGTGGTATACATTTAACCTCACGTCCTCCTGGAACGGATGGTGGTGCAGAACTGGCAGTTCACCGTTAGACTGGGGAGAAGTGTGGAGGAGTTCCAAGCGGGACAGCGTGAACGTGACTGTTAACGGAAGCCTCCCACTCACTGGCTTTGAGAAACGTTCAGTTCACAATTGGAGCAGGTCCTTCCACTCGCTGGTTTGCTGGTGGCCGCGCAGGAAGAGACCACGTGAGTCATGTCAACTCAGCAAAATCATCGCGTTGAAAAGTCACTTGAACGGCAAATGCTGCCAAAGATGATGTTCGGGTACCACGTTGACTTTTTAAATGGCCATTTTTGATGTTCTTAACAAACTGAATTTGAAACCACGAGGAGAACCACAGTATGGTTGCCCAGCTAAAGTTAAACACGGTCCATAGGCCACCCTCTCTTCTGACAGCAGCAGCAGAGTTCAGGGGTCCCCATGACCACCCTTAGGCTCAGTAATTCCCTAGGAGGCCTCTCAGAACTATCTGCGGGCTGGTATACTCGTGGTCATGGTTTATTACAGTGAGAGGACACAGATTAAAACCAGCTGAGGAGGGAGGGCAGGGAGCAGCATCCAAGGACCGCCGCGCTCAGGGCTTCCTGCTGTGCTCCCCGTGAGGTGGCGGCGGCGGCGCTGACTTCCCTGGCAACACTATGAGAAGATGCCAGCTTGGGAAGCCTTGGTGTCTGGAGTTTTTATTGGCGCTTGGGCGTGTAGACACAGCTGCCTGCCTGCATGGCTGCCAGGTCTCCAGCCTCTCTGTGGTCAAGCTGATGCCACGTGAGCCAACACCCCTGCCCTGAGTCATATTCTAGACTCTGGGCTCTAGACCCCCATCAAAACGAAGACACCACATCAGACAGGACATTCAGGAACTGAGAGATGGCCTCCCAGGAGCCAGGGGCAAAGGTCAGGCCTTTCTTTGGCCGGGTGAAATTCTTTATGACACACCTGTCACACACCTTCTGAGGGACTAACCACCGTGCAACACCAAGGAGAATGAGGGTGGAATGAGACTGGGGGTAGCCTAACAGATGCTCTCCTATCTCAGACTTTCGATTGCTCCTGTGCAGAAGAGAAAATGAAACTCTGAATTTAAAAAACCCATTTGCTTCCAGAACCCTGTGATTAGCTAAACCCTGTGCTTGAGGTAAACCTGGATCCTGAGTAGAGAACTAATTGTTACAGCTTGGACACCAAAAAATGACTACAGTATGTTGTCGGCTTTTGGATTTGGAGTGGGAAGCCTACCTTGCTGAGCAGGGGGCTGCGCTGCTGCTGTTACTGACCCCGGTGACCGCGGTGGGAGCCAGGATGGCACCTCGATGTGGTGGCTCCAGAGAGAAGCTGTGTCTGAGCAGGGCCGCCCGCCAGCAGTTGGTGCCACTCTGAGTGTCGCTATAGATTGTTCATTTCAAGGCCACCCCCCAGTTGTGTTAAATACCACTGCAGTGTTTGATGTCACCTTTGCATTTACGTCCTCGTCCGTACACGGCTAATGTCCTGATCTGGAAGCTTTTTGCTCCCTTCACACTTGTTCAGATGCAGGGCTGCCACTCCCGTCCCTCCCCTGTGCGCCCTGAATGGCACTCCCTGGAGTTGTGCAGCCCCAGCCTCGGGGCTGCAGGGCTTTGCTGGGTCGGGGTGAGAATGCCCATCCCGCTGTGGGGCCGCAGTGGGAAACCGCTCGAACAGTCTGCAGTCCTGCGCAGCTGACCATCGCTTCCCTGCCGGGGTGACCTCCACAGAAGGAAAAGCGGGCCCCGCCGGGAAGAGGATGGAGGGAGAGGCACAGGCAGACGGACAGTGGACTCGAGGCCCAGGCCACAGCCAGGGCACCCTCTCCTTGGTGCTGGAAATCTCAGGACTTCGTGGGGGAACCCTCGGGTCAGCAGCCAAAAGAGAAACCACAGTTAAGGAAGTATGTTGGGAGCAGGGATTTTCACTTTAAATCTAAACGTGCAGATAAGCTAGGCTCCGGGGTCCGGCCGGGACCTTGTTGTGGGGCTGGGTGTGCTGCCAGTTGGCATCTTTTCCCTGACCTTCAGCTGGTGGCCAAGGCACTCGGGCACTGCCCCGAATGCCCATCAGCAGGCGTGGGCTATGGGGCACATCCCGTGTACCTTTGGGGAGGCTTCAGAAATGTGCAGACAGGCTCCAGGAGACCCCATGGGCCCCTCCATGCCCCCCTGGCTGAAGTGCAGAGCTTATTAACAGCTACAGGGCAGAATTGTCGCTGCTATAAAGCCTGTGCGTTGGGCAGTGGAGGCGGGTCAGAACCAAGTTTCCTGAATTTGAAGACCATGCTAAGGTCACGGAAGAAAACATCTTTGTTTTCAGAAGATACTCACAAGTTATTCCCAG